GGATATATGGTTTACACATATATATAACTTGATCCTACGATGGAGGGCTTCACGGCATTAACACTCCAAGAAAGTCTTGTTTGTCCCATAGGTGCAGCCTTGGATTCAAACACTGCTCTCAAACATCGTTCTGCCTCTCTCTCTCTCTCCAGCTTGCTGCTTTACTTCCAGGTAACATCACTGCCACTTTAAACTCTGGCTTCATCCTTCTAACGATGAGCTGGGGGAAGGGGCCAGACCTTCTCACACAGAGCCCCTTTCCATTGTTTCCCTTAATAGCCCATCACTCCGGCTATCCAAAAATTCAAAATTCAAAATTGGGAAAGGAGTACGGCAAGGCTGTATATTGTCTCCCTGCTTATTTAACTTATATGCAGAATTCATCATGCGAAAGGCTGGGCTGGATGAATCCCAAGCCGGAATTAAGATCGCCGGAAGAAATATCAACAACCTCAGATATGCAGATGACACAACCTTGATGGCAGAAAGTGAGGAGGAATTAAAGAACCTTTCAATGAGGGTGAAAGAGGAGAGCGCAAAATATGGTCTGAAGCTCAACAAAAAAACACAAAGATCATGGCCACTGGTCCCATCACCTCCTGGCAAATAGAAGGGGAAGAAATGGAGGCAGTGAGAGATTTTACTTTCTTGGGCTCCATGATCACTGCAGATGGTGACAGCAGTCACGAAATTAAAAGACGCCTGCTACTTGGGAGAAAAGCGATGGCAAACCTAGACAGCATCTTAAAAAGCAGAGACATCACCTTGCCAACAAAGATCCGTATAGTAAAAGCCATGGTATTCCCAGTAGTGATGTATGGAAGTAAAAGCTGGACCATAAAGAAGGCTGATTGCCGAAGAATTGATGCTTTTGAATTATGGTGCTGGGGGAGACTCTTGAGAGTGCCATGGACTGCAAGAAGATCAAACGTATCCATTCTTAAGGAAATCAGCTCACTGAGTGCTCACTGGAAGGACAGATCGTGAAGCTGAGGCTCCAATACTTTGGCCACCTCATGGGAAGAGAAGACTCCCTGGAAAAGACCCTGATGTTCGGAAAGATTGAGGCCTCAAAGAGAAGGGGACGACAGAGGACGAGATGGTTGGACAGTGTTCTCGAAGCTACAAACATGAGTCTGACCAAACTGTGGGAGGCAGTGGAAGACAGGAGTGCCTGGCGTGCTCTGGTCCATGGGGTCACGAAGAGTCGGACACGACTAAACGACTAAACAACAACAACAACAGGCTATCACCTCAACACAGGAAGCAAGCCTGGCTTCTATTTTAACACTTGCTGGATCCAGGGGTTAGAAGGGTCTCACATACAGCTTCCTTCCCACCCCCAAACTCACAACTATATCACTGATGTGTAACAATGTCATTGATGGGCTCTAATCTGCAGTCTAGCTACTGAATTCTGCATAAGATGAACTTTCTGGATGCCTTTCAAGAGTAGCCCTGAAAAGTATGCTAAAAGGAGTGCAATTTGGAGCTGGCCAACTCTAGGAAGTTCATAGGGGGTACACCAGCTGAAGTTGTGTTCATTATCAAATCATGTTTAATAGTATGTTCATTAATGAATAATGTTTATCAGTGCATTGCATGGGGAAAGCTATAGTTACTACCCCCACAAAAACATATTGGCCACAGATGGCAGCCATATTCTTCCCTCACCTCCACTGTCCCACTGCTTTAACTTCCAAGGCATTTCAAGGAAATCCAAGATGGTGGTTGGAAGCCACTTAGCTGCAGAACACTGGAAATTTATTTTAAAGGAATCAGACGTTGGAAGAGGTGCCTATAGAAGGAACTCTATAGAACAGCACTTTGCTGTGAATCCCCTTAACCCTTGATCATGCCCTGTCACCATCCTTACATTCTAGGATCTGGCTATGGCATTTGCCTTACTGTTGAATCAGCTGTTCAAGCATATCCTGTCCATTCACAGTTTGTCAACTTGGCTTTGTATCTTTCAGGAGAAAGTGCTTCAAATCATTTTGTATTAATTGGGCATTACCCAACTCCCCAGAGGTACTTTCCCCTTTTTTTCTTTTATTGTTAATGAACAAAATCTAGGAATGCTTTCAAACTGTAGCTGTTTTCTATTTTAAAACTTTTTTAGCCATTCCCCCACGTAATACAAAATAGAAGAGGTATTTATGAATGATGGCTGCAGCATGAACCAAAAAATTATTCTCTATTAAGACTTGTTATCGCCAGTCCTGGTCAAATGCCAAACTAAGCATTGCGGCCAGTGACAGTTTTAAGATCTTATATACCTTGGGGGTGGGGGGAGAGCTAAAGAAAGAGTTGACTTATGCTATTAGAAATTGTAGAGTCCCAGGAGCATACAGACTTCCTTTCTCGGCCTGGTGTCCTCAGACTCTGTAGCCTCTACATGACATCATTCCAGTATACAATCCGACTTTGTCCTTCCAGAACTCCCAACCCACCTGGCGTGGTGTAATATTTGTTGTTGCTCATTTTATGAACTACTACAGCTAGGACCCAACGAATCCTTAATTATAGTGCAAACTGCTTCTCTGCTACAATGCTTCCTGCCTTTCTCCCCTGGGAATTTGTAGTATTTTCATTGAGGCCAAAACTTGAGTGCAACAGATTTCTTTCCCTGTAGAGATCGCAAAGCTGTTTATGATGATAATAAGAAAATAATTCTAATATCTCTTGCTGAGGCACGGGAAGGGAATGCGGTTATGTATGTGTTAATTCTTTTAATACATGCAGTCAGCTGACAACTCAAGTGCCCCTAGTTATGTAAAAGCTGCCTTTTCTCTAATGCACCCCCACGTGTCTTGGGTCTATGCATAAGTGACATAACCACACATGAATGGCTGCAGTTTAGTAGTGGAGCATTGCATAGAAAAGGTTCAAGTTTCAACAATAGGAACATAGGAAGCTGCCTTATACAGGGTCAAATTATTGATCCATCTAGATCTAGAGTGGCTGGGAAAACACAGCCAGATGGGCCGGGTACAAATAATAAATTATCATAAACATCATCACGTACAGGTAGCAGCTCTCCAGGGTTTCAGGCAGGGGACCCTCCAAGCCCTACCTGGAAATGCTCTACCTGGGACTTTCTGTATCCAGAACTGATGCTGTACCACTGAACTATGGCCCTCTATTAGCATCTCCATGGAGGGACTGGATAATCCCCAGTCTGAAAGCCTGGATACTTGGTGCCACTCAGGGTGGATGCAACAGAGCTAGATGAACCAGCAACCAAGTCTGGAATAAGGAACCTGTGACCCTCCAGAGGTTCCTGGACTCCAACTTTCATCAGCCATGGCCAGTTGGCAGGGATGATGGGTGCTGTAGTCCAACAACATCTGGAGGAACATAGGTTTTTCTATCTTTGAATTAAATGATTCTTGTAACACTTCAGTAGTGACTATTTAGAATCAGATGCTTATAGGCTTCCCTTAGGCATCTAGTTGGCCGCTTTAAGAACAGGTTGCTGAACTAGATGAGCCAGCGGGGCTCTTCATACATTCTTTTCACCCTACCCCAATTATGTGTGCACACAATAATGTGTAATTGATAGGGGTAGATTCATTTTACGGCTTGCTAATAATTTTGTTATTATGGCATGATGCTATATGTGTCCTGACCACAGCTGTCAACGTTTCCTTTTTTTAAAGGGAAGTTCCCTTATTCCAAATAGGATTCCTCACAAGAAAAGGGAAAAGTTGACAGCTATGGTCCCGACCCCTTGGCCTACCTAGCGGCAAGTTAGTATGTGAAGTCCCCAGCCCAGGATTCATCCAAAGTCCAAACTGAAGCACAGCCCTAAAGCATCCAAGCTGAGGTCCATAAATATGGGCAGTTGAGTAGACCAAGCACCTCAGCTCTGCTGCCCTTTTGTACTCTGCATGTTGACTGCAGCATATGGGCTTGATGAGGCATATGACCCTCACCTGTTCCAAGCCCACTCCAGCTGAGGAGTCACACCCCAGGGCTAGCGAGATCCACCTGGCCAGCTAGGGAACTGGGCTGTGGGCCCTTGCCTGCCTCAGCCTCCTGGAGCACCCCGACTGGACTGCTGCTCACAATCCCTCAGAGCCTGCTGGACAGGGGCCCCTCTGGCTCTGGTGGTGGGTCCTGCTGCTTTCTGTGTACTGACCCTCATCTCCATGTCATCTTCCATCACTCTGTGAGTACTTCCTACACCAACCTCTCCTTCTCCACCCCCAGCTTGCCCTGGTGTGTCCCTGTCCCAGCTACACCCCTCACCAGTATCTTCTTCCTCCTCCCTGTAGCCCTGCCAGTTCATGACAATATGTGAAATAGATCCCTGAACTGCATTATTATTATTATTACTACTATTATTACTATTACTATTATTATTAATTTATTTCTTATATTTTGAATTGTTATTACAGCTATGTGATTTTTGGCATGCATTTTGCCATTAGTATGTAGTGTAAACCACCCTGAGTACAATATTCTCAAAAGACAGGACACAAGTTTAAAAGAAATAAAATGAGGATTGTTTGACTTTGAAGTGCCACAAGGCTCATTATAATTTAGAAAAAAAGCTTTGTCAGTTTATAGGCTGCTGCAGGTTTTTGTTTCTGATAGAGAGAAATGGACTAGAACTCAACATTCCTGGGGCGTTTGCTAAGAGAATGAAACAACAAACACTTTTTAATCTCAAGGGGGTGAAACCACCAAAATAACAAAAACAATTACTGAACCCCACACATTTGATACTTGTTCTCTTCTTTCCATGCTATTTGACTCTCCTAGCTTATTATGATCAGGTACAACTTTTTCGGACTGCTGCTTAATTCCTTATGATGTCCATTTTGATTTCTGTTAGGTCTATAACATAGTTCAGCTGACACTTCTGAATGGCACAACTCTCAGAAATCAACATTATTGTGACTTGCACAGCTACCAGACACCATTTGATACCAAATATATATGCTAACAAAAGAACCATCCAGGCATGGATAAATGCTTCTCCATGTTGCTCCTCATAGTGCTATTATAGTAACTTGGTTGGAGATGTCTGATGTCTGACTCTGCTCTGTTTTGTGCCTTTCTTCGTAGGTGCAAATCTGCCAGGGAAGCAAGATTTATGGTGTTCTTTGCTGTTGATTCGTGTTCTTTTAAGACAAGTAGCACAAAAAAGTGAAGACAGAAATGACTGGCAGAAAATAATAGACAAATGCAATTTACTTACATAATAAAAACAAACTTAGAGCATGTGTATCCAAGTTATGACATTGTGTTTGGTTCACTTGAGAGGAGAACCTCTTTTCTGATACTTGGCAAAGTACATCAAGAGACATTTTGTTTTGCCCTGATGCTACTCACTTGAAATCTAGAATCTGAATCCAAAGCAAGTGGAAATGTTGTGAAACAAATGCATTTTTATTTTCATGCAGACGTGGAATTTGCCATCATTGCCCGCTAGTAAATCTGTCTCCCTCTCCCTCGTTCTTTCTCTCCTTAGCTACTGTAATTTTTGTGTTATGCACTCATTGCTATCCTTTCTCCATGACAGTCTTCCAAATTAAACTTTAGGATTCCAGGAAAAAATTCTAACAAATGTTTAAATCACTCAGAAGCTTGGGCTAATGTGAGGAAAACAGAAGCATCCTTTGCAAGACTTACACCGTAGCACTGGACCATTTTAATTTCCAGCGGCCCATGTTACTTCTCAGGGATTTCATATGGCAAAAGGATGTAAAGGAAGGTGAAGCTTCCTTTAGGCTGCAGTGAAGTGGGAATGAAGATACAGGTGGGCATTTGAGTTAAACCAAAAGAGCACAGGGAAACTTGTACTTGGAAGAACATTTTGACATATTTTTCCTGCTGGGATCTGACAATCAAAACTGAATTTTTTATCTTGTCATTTGTCTTCTACCACAATCTCTAGCCAAACCATCATTTGCCTTTTGCTGAATGGAAGTTGCAGTGACCTCGCTGCAGACTATTGACTGAGAAGCGGGGTGGCAGTGGCACTGAATTTTGGCATTACACAGGGTGCCACTGAAATTTGAAAGCACTGGAAACAGAACAGTTCTCCCCCAAAGTATTGCATTGGGTTCAGCAGGAGAGGGGAAGATGATGGCATATGTATTTATTGATTTGAAACAGCTTGGTGCCGTTCATTAAAGGTACCAAGTTGGTTCACAATGTACGTAAAATTACTGAAATAATCAGTAAAATCTACACTTTAAAATGGAATACAGTAAAATGCATCAGCATATATCTCAAGTTACCACAAAAGCTTGGTATTAATAGCCAGCAAATGCCTGAATGAATAGATGAGCCTTGTATGCCTCACATTGGGCTATAAGTAGCTGAGAAACACATAATCAGATGTTGGTTACATTCTGCAAGATGGTTAATTATTTGAAAAGCAACACTAATCTCACACGGGCCATTCACATTTTAAAAATAAATAAATCATTCACATATTGCAAAATCAGTTCCCATTATCAAGCCAAAGTACATTTATGTAGGAACAGGAATCTGACAGTGGAGCTACCCAGAAAAGCCAACTTTCTAGCTCATTGTATAGTTGGAACTATACAATATTATTGCATTTGCAATGTGATTTGTATGCTGGTACCCTGGGAACTGGATCTATTATTTTTCAAAGTGATGTTCACCTAAGTTTCTATCTCCCTAAGTGCAAGATTCTTCAAACGGGTTGGTGGTCTGTTCAAAAGTATCAAATCCCAGTAAGGGCCGCACTTGTTATCATACATATAAATGAAATAGCAAGCAACTAAGTGGGAACTGCAGTTCTAGGAGTTTTAAAATATCAAGTTTTGTTTGCTTGATGTTGACCTCGGTGCTTGCTGTAATTTGGAAATATAAGACCCTGCTGGGTTTGTTAGTTCTATGGAAGCCAGCCAGAGTACTGGAGCTTCTAGGAATGCCTGCTGGAAGAAACAGTGTAAGTCAAGGTTAGATCACTGTAATGCAACTTCCTATATTGCCTTCCTCCAATATACTATTATCAAAAGTTTCAGCAGGGTACATGGCATTGCCTGGGTTGCAGAAATGCATGCCTAGAATCACTTCTTTGAATCCCACAGCATACACATTCTGTCTAAGCAAATTTCACGTGACAAAGTCTTATCCCTAAAAGTCTAAGTGATTTGGGTGTTTTCAAATGAGTGATTCAGTCTCATGCATGTCTCTTGGGTTTTATTACTTTGAGGGACCTAAACAATAATTTCTGTTGGGTCTTTGCATTCTTCCATTTCTTTACACCTGAACAGGTTTGGGTCAGTTCTTGTACTTGAGGTTGAAATCAGATTGATATGAACCACATGCAGGTACATTTTGGAAATAGTGAGACTGCTCAAACTTCCTGACCTCATAGGAAGACTGCTCTTTTATTTATAAGGCAGAACCAAAACTCACATTTTACCCAAACTGTAGCGAAATGTGCTTTCTAGGAAAATTCTACAGATTATGCTTTAACATAAAGCTTGTTAGGTTCAGTTTGTATGGAGAAGGCTGTTGTTCCTTACAAGTTCTTTGATTACACTGTGGTCTGAAATTAAGGTCTTTGACTGATTGAAGTGACCCTTGCAATATGGACTGGTTGCATGACAAGGTCCCCAGGGCCACCCCAATAACTCACATATCACACAGGAATTTTTGTTTAAGGTTTTTGGCATAATTTTGGCCACAAATTTATTAAAATACAAAAATGTGAGTGGTTGCTTAGGCATTGGTTGCGACTATCTGCCTCCCCATTGGGGACAGACTGACATTCCACACGCCTGCGAAACTCAGAAAAAGGGAATACACTTGGGGGTAGCGACAGAGCAGGGAATCTGCCCTCAGCCCTCCCCAAATGCAACCAGGGTCATTTGCATGGCCCGAGCCCCTTGCTAGGGTGGACAAAAGCAATAGTTAGCCCCTGATTCCTTTAACGGAATCCCTTGTAGCAGCAGCATTAGAGGGGCAGGCACAGCCAATCCATGCCCCTCAACCAACCAAGCCATAAACCAATGCCTAACCGCAACCTTACAAGTTGTGACGATTTGCTACGCAGTAGGCAAAAACCAAATGGCCCCAGCCAATCAGCCAGATGGACAAAAATCCTAACGGGCCCCTGCCCCAAGAGCAGACCCCCCCATGACAGGCATAGCAAGGTCAAAGCAAACAACCCTAAATATGGGGGGGGGCAATCCGATGCATGGGCGAAAAGAGGAAGCCCTAGCCCCGTGCAAGGAGTTTTAGCATTTCTGGCTGTCAGTCAACAAATGGCAACATTAACTTCTTCCCAACAACAAAGGAAGCCCAATCGCATCAGTGGCCAGCGATCAATTAGCCCGCCCCACAACTTTGGAGTGTCCTGTCAGCCCCCACCGCAACACGTGCTCTCCATGAAGGAGAACACGCTTTATTCCTAAAGGCTTTGAACGATGTTGTGTGCCTTGCCTTTGTACAGTGAGTTCTTAAATTCCTAGGCTCTGATCCAAAGATCTTTGAGCACAGCAGAGGGCGAGAATCTGTGAGTTCTCACCTGCCAGACATATGCTGATAGCGATGGTTGGTGCTGTCAGACCTGATAACTCTGTCTATCAGTTCAATCAGTGCCATGCATGTAGTCCCATCGTGGCAAATGAACTGTGCATGCGTTTCATCCTTTTGTACATATGGAACCTAATTATGAAGGGATCAATGTATGGAAGATTTATTCCATGTGCCGACTGGTCCTTACTCATTCAGAACAATGGTGGTTGCCTGCTCTGAATTTGTTTGTAAAACTTTTCTGGAGGTTTCTAAAAGCACTCCATTTCCTGTCTCCAGTGGTGTCAGAAATATGTTTGCCACTATTCGATCCTGTATTGTTCTAAAGCCAAGAACAATTCAGAGCTATTTATTTTAATATTGATGGACAGCAAGGATTCTATTTGGTAAATCATTATCCTAACAGTGAGTTGTTTCTAATATTATCTTGCTGCTTTTTGTATGTGTATATTGGACTCGTATGAAGATATTTTATGTCAAATACATCACAGATTCAGGGATGATCTTAACAGATGAACATTTATTTTGGGTTGCAGTTAATAATTTTTCACTTTGAAGAATTGTTGAAGCACTTCAAAGAAGTGAAAAAAAATATGCCAAGGGTGAACTACTTATTTTGAATCATTATGATCCATTTCAGGAATGTGACCTGGTTTATAGATTTTATAAATAGATTTTCTTTCCCAAGAATGCATTCAGTTTGAATCCCATTACAACCGTTTATGATAAAACTCTGATCTCCTTTCCCCCATTCTCCTCCCCAAATACATACAGAAACACAGAAGCAATCATGGAGGTCACAATTTATAATTATGAAACTAAGAAGACTCACAGTGTGGTTCGCTTCTTAATTAGCTATGAAACAGTCTCTTTTTTACCTTTGGGAAAGCTGGGTGAACTTTTTTTCTTAGTAAGTAAAAAAAAGGAGGTGTAATTATTATTTGTTGAACCTTAACTTCTCTAGTCAAATAAACATATTTTCCATTTAAAAAATCCCTGAAATTCCCCTGCAGCAGGGGATCAAATAACTGGGAACTGCTAATGTGTTCTAGATCCTCAAAGAAGATCAAATGGAGAACTGGTCTCGAACCACTGATCAATACATAATGTTCAGAGCTTTTCAGATATGTTGTTGTTTTGACAATATAATGAACAGTACTTACCACTGAACACCAGTAATATTCAGGAGTTATAGAGAAAACTGGTGATGTGGTAATGCAGAACAAAAAGAATTAAGGCAATCTTTAGGTTGTCCTTGCAGAAATGTATGTAAAATCTGGGAAGCAATGGTTCTGGCTCAATGAAGCACTAATAAGAACTTGCTTAGAGTGCAGTAATGTTGAGAAATAAAAAAAAGATGACAGTGAAGATTATTAAGGCATTAGAAATCAGGTAGGGCTGTACGAAACGCAGTTCAAACAGGGAAAGCAGGTACTGCATTTTCAAATAGTTCAAAAACTTACAAAATGGAAAATGGTTGTGCCATGTGTCCATTGAGGGTCGGATGGAATTGTAGGTGGGCATCTAGGTGCAAAGTAGAGGATTGGATTAGTAGAATGTGTGTTAGATGTTTAAAGAAGTTTGCAATAACTTTTCAACAGCAGCATCATTTCCCTTGTACACAGACCACATACTGATTATCAAATTGTGCTCAAGTATCACACAATTGTAAAAACACTCGCCCAATTCACAAATGCTGGTGTATTCTCTTCATTTTATATGGATCCTCACAGTTCTTATATCACCCCAGACCTTGAGTATTGTTTCACAACATCTCAGAGTTATATTAGTTAAAGAAGTACTTAATGTTTTAATCTTAGGTAATGTCAAAATGGCACAGGAAAGGGAGGGGGCGATATCTCTCTCTTTCTAAACACTGAATTCATATCACTCAGTCTTCGAGCTGGCTTTTTTCACTTGGCGGCTACAATGTCCAATAGAAGAGACTTCTTAGAGAAAGTCAGACATAATTTTCTGTCCTTTCTGTACAATTCATGCTGACATAATTGGCTAAATAGCATTATTTTTCAATGGGGAAATTTGTACCGGCTGAATTAAAGCAGGCCAGCAACAATATGATGTGGTGGCTAAAATGTCCTTCCTGTTTGGCAGGAAGAGGATCCATGAAATCTATAGGACATCCTCCTGATTGATAATCACTTGAAAAACGAAGAAAGAAAAAAAGAACTGAAAGCTGTTGATAAAAAATATTTTAAAAGGCTGCTTTTTATTTAACTTTGCTCATACAAACACTGGCACATCTCTAGTTTACTGAGTCCCATGATATATGGCTGTACAAAAATGAGTTTGCAAAAAAGCCCATACGTTTCCCCAAGATGATGAAGATGTAGAGGGAATTTTTTTTTATGTTTGATGTTTTATTATGTTTCTGTATATGCTGTATATTCATTTTTTATCTGCTCTTCACCATAAGATTTCACCATAAGATATAGTAATAATGGCACTGAGATATTATTTCCCACCCCAGTCTCCAACTAACTTTAAACATTTATTTCATGCAACACACACATATACCAGAAATATATGATAGCTTCCCAAAGCCATCATGCAAATTTCCAGCTAGTTTTCTTTGAAAAGAATCTTCCAGGGATACATTATAAAAGTGAAAGAGACAGAGAGAGTGCAATTGCTTCATTTCTTGACAGAAGAGTCTTTAAAAGTACAGCCCATGCCAAGGTAACAGTTCACAGCCCCATTAAACTTCTCCAGCGAATGCCAACAGCTTCTCGTTGTGTTATCATGACTAGACCTGACCACTTATATCTTTGGCCTCAGCTCCATTTGTTTTCATGTTTCCTATTCTGTTCTTCATAAGGTGGGGAAGACAGAACTGTTTGGCACGACATTCTTTCCCCCTTATTCCCTCAGCCTGCTTATCTTAACAGAGTCCAGGCTGGGTGATTTCATAGAAGCCATCTTACTTAGTCTTATCTGTGTTATGCTTCTATATTTAACCAGGGAGGGTTTTGCGTTGCCAAAGTAATATAAAGCATAATGCTACTAGGTGGCTGGCTTGTAAAGAGAGGCCATATATCACTTTTATGTGGCTGTTCAAAGAAGGAGGCATTTAATAAAGCCGAAAGACCAAGCCAAGGGCCTCAGTTAATATAGAACCAACAGTTTAATTATTAACGTCTCCAAGTACTAAATCAGCTTGTGGGAGGACAATGCCAAAATATTACGAAAGTCAGACTAGATAACTCGTTGCCTTGAGGCAAAAGGTGTAGAGCAGCACAATGCAGGGAGAGAGTGTTTTGTTTTGAATCTATATCTAGAGATTGGCCTTGGTTAAAATATGGGCTAGATTACATTTAATGGAGCCCTTGACCTTTGGATCATGGGTACTGGAATTTCATCTTCATTCAGAGTCATGGTCTGGATCTCAAGAATTTCTGACTAGCCCCATTCCCATATAAAAAGCATTCCTGTTTCCAGTGGCCTGAGCAGTTTTGACCTGCAGTAGTGTAGCGGCTAAGTGCATGCATACATAATGTTGTTGGCCAGCACTTTACACCGGTGATGGGGAACTTGTGGCCTTTCAGATGTTGTTGGGCTACAAATATCATCCCATGCAGGCTCACAGGCTCCCTTCCAACAACATCGAATAGGCCACAGGTTCCCCATCATATTATTTGATGTAGATAACAGTAGCCATATTGGATAAGTGGTGAGTCATCTTCTACTCTTTAATAGCAATCCCTCAACTAATGATAATTTTATCCTGCTAAAGTTGGCCTACTTACACTGCATTCACATCATAAAATGTTGGTTTAGTCATTTGTTGATTAATGTATGTGTAACCCTTAGATTCTTCCATTTCTTCACTGATTTTTTTACAGAGCATCCTGGGGATTCTTAATTATACATCCATTTCATTTTTGAGATACTAATTTCCTGTCCAATTCCACATGATTTTGCTCTGGCTATTCCTTTTCACTCTCTAATTCCATAGTATCATTAGGAAATATCAAATATTGGTCATCAGCAAAAGCTAAGGGGGTTTGCTGTCAACACTAGTCCCATATGCCATGGTTTGTGTGTATGCATGCGCTTTCACTGAACAGCTCAACCATTCCAGAAACTCAGTAAATAGCTTTGGAAAAGTTCTCATTCTTTTGTAAACATGCATGCATCATGTATGGCATAATATTCATTGTAAGGGTTGGGCTGATTAAGACAAGTCAGCATCTACTAAGTCAATTCCAAAATTATTCTGTGCATTAATTACAGTGGCTTCCCAGATTCCATTTTCCCTTCTAAATTCTTCATAAATTTCCTGCACTTTGCCAAGTGTTTCTCTACAGAGTACGTCACAATTTCCCCACCCTTTTTGTCGTAAGTTTCAGCATTCTAAACAGCTCTATTGTTTAGAGCAGGGAGTATCAGATTGCCCCACACCCAGGAAGGAAGACATGAAAAGCCAGAGCTTTATTAAATTACCAAACTCAAGGAACTGCAACAAACAGGATTGGTAAAATCAATCTGGGCAGGTATCATAAGAAGTTCAGACAAAAGGGAGTATATATCCCAGTTTCCCCTGAGGGTGAACTCACCCTGGCTTTAATCGACTGACTGGAAGAGTAACTGATACGTGGGCACCTGGAGGTGTGCCGAGGGAGCTGTCGTTAGCTGCATGCCTCCACCGCTGTCCAGTGTCTGGAATCACAAGGGATGCTTCCCTCTCCAACCCCCAAGCTGATGAGAATGATGAGAGGTGGATTAGGAAGTACCCCTCCATATAAATAATATCATACATTGTGTGCTGTCACACACAAAAACGATACAAAGGATTTGAGGATTGCCCATACCCAAGCTGGAAAAACAAATGCAGTCATTTGACTGAGGTCTCAGGTTTGGGCCATCCATAGGACGCCTGATTTTTTTCCGAGCCTGGTCTGAAAATGTATTCAGAAGATAGGCCTTCCTTGTTAGTTAGCTAACTAATCCTTGCTTTCAGCTTCAGATGTTCTTAATGCCTTGCACTGTTTTCTTTGCTCAGTCAATAATACAGACCTTCTGTTCTGAGCATGCATCAATCATAGTGCAAATCCCAGACAAAAATAAACAATGTGTGTGTCTTCAAGGTGTAGCTGGAGTTGGGTGGCCATTTGTAGAATCTGAAGCTGCATCTTTCAAGGCTTGTTCCTTACAGTAGGCCTTCATTGCTGTGTCAATCAGCATGCCTTTTGTGGACAGCTTTAGTCTATTTTCATTGCACTGACTGAAAAGAACTTTTGTGTAAGACTTGTCATCCCCCAGTAAACCAAGTTCTGAATGACTTGTCCAGCAACAAGAACAAATAAAACCAATGTATGCTGAAGTTATTATCTGCCTTCATAAAAAGTCTTTTGTTGTGATCTTAAAGCAACAACTGATTTAACCAATTATTGATTATTGTTTCAGTAACAACAACAACACAAGCCCATGAGTGCAAATCACAATGCACTGTCTCACGGAGTTTCCATTTACCCTATATTTTAAAGTTATTCTTATTAATAGGTGCCTGCTACCAGGAATGGATGAGAAATTGGTTTGGCTTGTATTTTAATCCAAACCTTCCAGATCCACATGTTCTGAAGCAATACACAAACTGAAACAAACTCCCCCCCTGAAATCTGTACTTCTCTGAATTTTGCAATACTGTTCTCCCACCAAAGAATACAAAAATGTCTATGTGCCTGAAAATAAAGTATAAAAATGCATTCCGTTCAGGAACATTGCTTGCAAAAATGCTTATATTAGGCAAAATATCATACAAAATAAGTCAGTCGGTAGTATAATGAGTCGGTATATCCATTATAAATTCATATTATTTTCTCTTCTGACCACAAACTTTACTAGTTTATGTTTTATTCTGATTTTCCTATAGTTCTTTTTTTAAGCAATGATTATATATATGGTTCATATATATGAACCAAAATGATCCCTCAGAGCAACTTGCTATATACTGTATATGGTAAGTCACTCTGAGGGATAATTTTGCCATATGGCTGGACATGAAAATGAGACATAAGTTAATTAATTGCATTACCTTGCAAACTTCTTTGACCCATTTTTGGCATGCAAACGAAGGTGGTGGGCGCTGACCACACACCCATGTGGAAAAACAGGTGCCCCCAGAAAGTGTTTAATTGCCACCGTTAAGCTGTCTTGCAAATCTGCAGCAGTCCTTCAAACTTTAGGGGGAAAACCAATCCAACTTTAACCTGGTCTCTTTTTTTTCTTCTCCTTCTGCAAATACGTCTGAACAATGACTTGAGTGTTCTCTCTGAAATCTCTTAAAAGGTGAGCGAATGGACCACTATAAAGTCCAGAGCTTTTGGTTATGAAGGGCACCTTTCATTTGCCTGAACGGGTAGCCACACAGCACCGCATAACATTTGGTATAGACTTGTGTCATCACACACCAGAAATGAGGTAAGATGTTTATGGATGGAAATGTAAGGAGTGTGGTCCTGTACCCCTGAAATTATGCACAAAACACTGTTTCTTCACCTGCCTGTCAAAAGCTAAATTAAGGAGGACATACGGCAAATTTCTTCAGAGGAAAACCTCCAAATCATTTATTTGAGAGCTAATTATGTGAAATGTGTTGACCTCCAATATGTGGTCCAATTAAAAAAGGGGCGAGGGGCAGCTCTGGAAACTGTGACATTTATTCATAGTTCACTAGTTTCTCAGGTAGTGGTGAATGCATTTATCAAAGAAATATTAGGACATCTATATAGTTTGGATACCATGTGCATTGAAAATTCATTTAAGTATTCGAAATCAATTACACCATACTATATAAAGCTTTCCAACCTGTTAAGATCAGTTCTGTAATTCAAAGTGGTATAATACAGCACAGATCACAGACGACGATGATGATGATATAGTTGCAGCAAACATTATAATATTGTGTGTGGGTATAACATATGCATTGCTTTTTATTGTTAAATACTGCATACAATTTTTCTTTATGCCTTAAAAGGCATAAGATTTTGCCAACATCCCATGATTTCCTAATGAAGATTTTCTGGGTTCTGTTTGCATTTCTAATTGCACCCGAGATGGATCTGAATGCCTTTTATATAATTGTTTAAAATATATTAAAATAAACCCGCTCACAATTAAGAGATTATAAGGAATGAAACAAACAAATGCTTCTTCAGTGATCCTGAAAATTGTTTCCTAAAAGGAACTACAGATGAGAAATGGTTGTCACTGTTATTACTGTTATTGCTGCTTTCTGGCTAGATGTTCTTCTGCTGTGCAAAAACACAGGGAGGTCTGTAGCTCAGTGGTAGAGCATCTGCCTTGCATGTTGGATGCAAATGTCTCCTATCTGAAACCCTGGAGAGCCACTTGCAATCAGTGTAAATAATACTGAGCTGGAAGGACTAGTGCTCTGGCTCAGTGTAAAGAAGCTTCCTGTGTTCTTATCATGTCATGACATGGATAATCTCTCTTTCACTGTATGAAAAGGCCCAGTCCATTACTGTGGCTTAGAAACATTATGAATGTGCCCTCATAGTGGAACTTTGATATTCAGTCCTGTGAGCTGGGATGTTATATCCCCAGGGATGCTTCTGAAAATATTACCTGAATGCCCTCACAGAATTGGCATTCCAGATTACCTAGCCAAGTCTCCAAAATGGAACTGATGCATTTGGTAAGACTAGGTCTAATGGGCCAGAGAACACCCCAAAATGGTAACCTGGAGGGATCGCCCTATTTGATTTGCATCTCGGGGTGATCCTAAACTAGGATCGATCCTAAAGGAGTTATCAGCCAGCAACCAGGTTGGCTCATTCAGGATACATACCCAATGCCTATGCCAAATTGATTACAGATTGATTATATCTGTAATCAATAAAGCTGTGGCCATTTTGATTCCAAGCCATTTTGCTGCTTCTACACCCCCCCCAGTGGCCCCCAGCCTGCTGAGCATGGGCCCGCAAAGATGTGAGTTGCTTATATTGAAAACAATTCATTTTCATAGCCTCTTGGGGCCTTGAAATCCCTCCAGATAGAAGTTATCTACACTTTTTTGAGAACATAAACAATTGGTTTAAGAAAGTTTCCTTCATCTGTCTTTTATCTTCTGTACTATGAAGGCTATAATGAGATGCAGAATGGCGTCCTTCCATTTTATAAGCCTAATTAGGTCAAGCAAGCTGGTTCTTGTTTAATGTTCTGGTTGCACACAGAGAGAGTGAGTGAGCGAGAGAGAGAAACAAACAGAAAGGCAGGTGGTATAGCAGGCAATGCCAAATGCTACAGGATTGACTTCTCAAAGGCAATGCATTTCTCTTAAAGCAGAACAGAATAAAATTGATATTTCTTGCCTCTCTTCTTTACAGTCTGCTCCATTGAAGAGAAGCCTCACTGTTCAGTTGCTGGCAATGCACCTGCCTCTATAACTATAATTTGAAGCATACTTAACATCAGTATGGTTAGGCAGTTGAGAAAAAGGCAAATAATTTAAACTCTTGTTTCTAGCACTAGACCAGGTGGATTGGTATAAAAGCAGCCATAGGAATGTGGAGGAAATCAAAATGCACTTGGTTCAGACAGATCTCCCAAACTACATGAGCTCACAACTGTGGTTCTTTAAAATCCAAAGCTTGTATGATTGAGCTATGCATAAAAATGAGAACATTTCACTATTTTAGACTCAGACCTCTGGCTAATCTACGCCAATACAGTGGTACCTCGGGTTACATACGCTTCAGGTCACATACGCTTTAAGTTACAGACTCCGCTAACCCAGAAATAGTGCTTCAGGTTAAGAACTTTGCTTCAGGATGAGAACAGAAATCGTGCTCCAGTGGCGTGGCAGCAGCAGGAGGCCCCATTAGCTAAAGTGGTGCTTCAGGTTAAGAACCGTTTCAGGTTAAGTACGGACCTCCGGAACGAATTAAGTACTTAACCCGAGGTACCACTGTACAGCAATACTTCTCAAGCACTATATAAGTTATAACAAACAACCATTATTTCTCATCTGTCTTTAAAAAAAAGAGTTTTATAGTTTTAGTATATCATGTCTATGTTCTCGTTTGTTTTTCAAAAACCAAAACGCATGCTAGTGGAGAACCAAACACTTTTGCACAATCAAATCTAACCAACATGTTAACACCCTATAAATGCATATTGTTGGCTCACATAAGCACCAGTAATTGGGGTAGTGTAAATGACTATGCCATAGACATAGTCTTTATGCTTGTCTCAACCTGACCAGAGGTAATGGTTATTTTAACTCATTATGAAAGAAAGTACTTGGTGTACTGTTATGGCATAAAGGGGAGTCAGATGCAGAAAAACTGGGATCACTAAGCAAGACAGGGGGGAGAAATTCAACAAAACTGGAAGCAGCTCAAATTGGGGAGCCATGTTGTTAGAGCAGATGTAGAAAGGCATTCCTTCTGAAGTAGAAAACTGGATGACTCAGGAGGTTTTGGAATCCCGAATCCTCGAAAATTCACTTTGGAAGTATAGTGGTCAAAAATGGTTTGAAAACTTAACGTGTGCCATTTTGATTGTATAAGTTGAGTGGGAGAGGTTGTTTGACAGTGTACATGCAATGGTGTACATACCTTGGGTACATACAATGAATTTCATGAAGGAACATGGCAATCCACACACAGCTTTCATGCCATTTCCTACATCAATGTGAGTTCCATGGAGGAAAATTTAAAATAGCTCTGAAGAGCCCTAGCTCATAATACTGGAATCTGAGGTCATCCAATAAAGCTAGGCAATACAAAAGCATGTACTTCTACACACATAGCTAAACTATGGAATTTGCTAGCGTAAATTGTAGTGATGGGTTGGTACCCAACTAAACAGATCTTCTATTGCAAAGACTTTTAGCTGCGCAGTGAGAGACTATGTCTGGCTCAAGTCACTCAGCGAGTTTAGTGGGATTTGAACTCTGGTCTCCCAGGTCCTAGTCCAGCATTCAAACCACTACACCACACTGGCTCTCAGAGGTGGTATGACTTGGAATACTAGTTGCTGGGGTTCACAAACAGGAGGTTGCTATTGAACTCATGTCCTACCTGTAGGCTTCCCATGGGGAGCCAGAGTGCCACTGTGAGAACAGAATGCTGGATTAGATAAACCTCTGGTTTAATCCAGCAGAGTTCTTTTTATGTTCTTAGGAGTAGTTCTCAAATTACTACAATTCCATATGTCTCCGAGTTCATATATGACAGTCAGTGGAAATCCTTTATGTGTCTACTGAGACATAAGTGCTATTGAATTCAACGAGTAATTCCAGGTAATAGGACTGTGGCTGATGTGTGTTTTGCAGCATGATAGTGTCCTCACAAGTCTTGCAGAGGGCAATGTTGGCCACATCATGCATCTGGAAATGGAAACACTCATTAGGGTCCAGACATGCATATTTCACCTTCAAAGGGGGGGCATTTGTATGATTTTATTTTCAAACCACAAAATACACACCTGAGGTTGTTTGGCCCTTGGCAGCGGACAGGACACATTTTCTCACTGTGTGCATAGGTTACACCTGCACACACTTGGTAGTTGTGATATTGACACAGATCCTCAAGTTATATTTAAATGCAACCTTTATAGAAGTGTTTGTCTCTGCACTCTTCATTCTGGGCAATTTGTGTCTCCTGCCATTAAATCTCAATATGCATTGAGGCATTGTGCTTGGAGCTCTACTCTCTTCTCCTACATCTGTCTTAAGACTGGATGAGTTAACTCTCTGTTGATCAGAGCTAATTAATAAGACAAGCCTCCCACAAGTTGCCACAAAAAGAAAGTTTTCTTAATTTGCACCATTTCTGGTGGAGGCTTTTCCTCTTAACTCCAAAAAAAGCCTGCTGCACCTAAGGGCCTCTCATAATCTTTCTCTTCCCTTCACGTCACTTTTCACAGGCTCCTTGTAAAGGAAAGTAGGTGTGAAACATTGGCATAAGGTAGGAGCTGTTCAGACCAGTTAAACATTACAACAATACATGTTGATTAGGCGATATTTTGGCCTCCTCCTTTGCCACATTCTACTTGATGACATCACCCTGTCTCATAACTCCTCCAGCCATGGCCAGTGGAACAGCAGTAAACACCGAATGGCTGTTGTAGAAAATGTCGAAACCACAGTTCCAGGGGGGGAAATAAAAAGGAGAAGGAACAGCCAGTTCTCCATGGGCGTCTTAACGTTCAGGCTCATGTGGAAAAATCCCAAAGAAGTTGGAGCAAGCTGCTTCGCAACAATGGTTTAGGATCCCATAGTACTTCCATAGTTTGAAGACACTGAAGCTTCCCTTTACCAAACACATGTACGTCTGTGATATCAGCCCCTTATAAAAATACCAGACTCGTTAATTAATCCTTATAAAAGCAGAACAGCTACAACACATGAAAGCCATGATTGGAATAAATACCAATGTGAAGTGTAGAGTTTTGGAACACTATCATGTCTTTTATGATCTAAAGTGTTACCATAAAGCACCAATGCTGCAGCAAGCAAAGGCTCTAGCAGCTCAGCCAGCTGCTTGTGGCTGGAAAGCCAGACAGGATGTTTGTGACTGTTGCCATGGGAACAAAGGGGCAGTCCATTCTGTACTGAGCACCGGATGTTAGCTCAGTGTGTGTGTGTCATTTGACCCGTACTGGATGTACTTGGGAGGAGTTTCGTCTTGCTGTTGTTGAGTGCAGACATGATTCTCTGTACTGATGTAAGAGGCAGAAATAAATGATGTAAATAGTTTTCTGTCTGCTTCTTTCCCTCCCTGGGGACACCAAAGGGGAGAGAGGAAGAACGGTGTGTTCCTCTCATACATCTGAGAAGAATCGCCGGACCTCGCCTGCTTATCAGCAGAGTGGAGACGCGGGGAGGTCGACAGGAATATCTGCCGGTGCCTACGCTGTGGCACATTCCTCTGACCCAGGCAGAATTCCAACAGTGGCAGCCTTCGGATGGTTGCGATTCATCGGACATCTGCATGAGAGGCTGGTGGATTGTCCTCCTCTGCTCCAAGGAGGAAGAGAAAAGCGTCTGAAAGAAGCCAGAGGCTCCACAGACAGCTGATGGAAAGAAGAGGTGTTTTCCAGAGCAACAAAGTTCAAGGTATGCTGCATTTCGGGCTAAAAGTGTGAACGCAGGAAGATTAATTCCCTGGTTCACGGAGCTGCGTTTCAAAGAAAACAAAAGCTCCGAGAGGAAGAGGCCTGCAGCTTGAAGGCTGAAGCCTGCATTCCACAAATTTTTGTGGTAGATAAGAAGTCCTATTGAAATGCATTGTTGCTAGGTAACGGTCCTGGAAAGTTACTGGCGAAGGGGCTGGACTCTGAATGTAAGCCTGGGAAAGCGAAACAAAATCAAAGAATGTTTTGGCTACAAGGTTTACGAGCTCTTGGAAGGGACTTTTCAATAGCAGCCTGCGTTTAGCTGCCAGGTGCAAAGAGCGTAAACAATTTGCAGTTTGCTGCGTGAGAAAAGAAAAAAACAGCTGTTGGATTTTACAGTTTGTTTGACATTGTGAGCTGGAGGCTTGGCTTCAAGATGGATGCCAAGAAAGGGGAGGTTTGCCTTGCCCACCTCCCTTAACCAATGACAATTATTCATCTTGGTCTGTAAAGATGAAGGCCCTGCTGCAGAATCAGAGGCTTTTGATGTAATTGAAAACCCCATCCCTGCAGCACCAACCAGAGGTTGGGAGTCACAGAATGTAAGGGCCAGGACTGCTATAATTCTGTGTGTCTCAGATGATCAGTTGGTGCATGTTCAGCATTTAGAAAATGCGAAAGAGGTATGGGACACGCTGCGTACAACGCATCAGAGAGATGCTGGTTCTTCAGCGTTGCTGTATTTTGAGAAATTGACCAATCTGAGACTTGCGCCTGATGGAGATGTTCAAGCGCACCTGACAGAAATGAAGTTTCTGCGTCAACAGATGGTGGAACGCAATTTTCGTCTTCAGGAGGAAGTGTTTTGCTTCATGATGATAAACAGCCTTAGCCGCACCTACAAGGTTGTTGCCAGTCAGCTTGGTTCCCTACCGGCCGCGCAGCTGACCGCGGAGAGAGTTTGTGCTGTGGTCCTGAATGAACACGACAGACTTGCTGCACTGGAAGAAAAGACAGGGGGAGGGAAGAACAGAGTTCTAATTCCCCCACTGCTGATGCTACTGGAGAGCATGGTGTAGCATTGAGTGCTGTCCGATGCTACAATTGTGGACAGACTGGGCATCTACAGCGAAACTGTAAGAAGCCGCGCCAGTCAAGAGGAGCAAAGAGCAGCTCTACGAAGCCTCAGGCGTCAGGCAAAAGCCGTACCAAGTGCCAGGTGAAACCTGCAAAGGCTATGATGGCGAAAGGAACCACGCCAGATGTTGGGAACTCGTTCATAATTGACACGGGCGCAACGGTTCATATGTGCCCGCACAGAGGACTGTTTTCGACGTTGAAGAAGCAAAGCTTCACTGTGAAACAGGCCAACGGTCAGGAGTTGGAAGCAACTGGAATTGGGACTGTGTATCTTGAGAGTCTGAACTTGACTATAAGTGATGTTTACCTGGTTCCAGAACTGAGATTTAATCTGCTGAGCGTGTCGCAGATTGCAAAGAAAGGACTGAAACTGTCCTATGATGCTAAAAGCTGCAAGATCTACAAAGATGGAGAACTGTTTCTTACTGCCAAAGAGAAAGATGGACTGTATTTGTTGACTTTTGATCAAAGTGATTACATGAAATGTAATTCTTCTGTTTCTAACGAAATCTCTCTTGCAGGGGCGACCATGACCAGTGTGAGCACCAGGAAGGTGACTAAGACCAAGAAGGTCGACAGAGCATTTCAGCGGGTGTATGCTGATGTGATTGGTCCTCTAGAACCATCTAGAGGCGGTGCACGATTTTACCTTGTGTGTGTGGATTGTTTCACTAATTATTCTTGGGTTTATATGATGGAGAAACCGCAAGAAACTTTAGAAAAGTTTCAGGAGTTTTGTGACAAGGTTAAAAGTATGCATGATGCTAACATTGATTGTCTTTTCACAGATGAGAAGCAAATTTTTCTGTTACAGAAGTTTCAGAAGTTCCTGGATGGAAAAGGGATAGACCACAAAGTGGCAGTTTCGCAAGAAGCGTGGAACAGGGGGGTCTGTGTAAAAGTGAACAAAGAATTGCAAAAGGGGATGAATGCGCAATTGCTGAGTTCACATTTGCCACATGAATATTGGGCCGAATCGCTAGCGTCCTATCTTCATGTGTGGTTGAGAAAAGTCTCAACAGAGTTGGGATGTTCTCCTTTTGAGAAGCTGTTCAATAGAAAACCTTCTGTTGCCTATTTTAAGGTTTTCGGGTCTCATGTGAGAACAGAAGCTCCAGGTGGTGTAAAGAATGCCAGAGGCATTTTTGTGGGTTATGAAAAGGTCTCTACAGAGTAATTTTGTCTGAATCTGGTCAGGTGATTCTCACAAAGTTCCTAGAGAGTGCTCCAAAGCAAGAGCGGATAGTACAGACATTTCCCACAGGAAACGATTCTGATGATGATGATGATGAGTTTGATCTTATTGAGTTCAGTAGTACTGATGATGACAGCGATAGCTCAGACAGCTCAGTTGTCACAGTCATTGAGAGGAAATCTCACATAATGACTAGACCCTCAGAAGTGAAGGATGAACCACTGATTGCTACTGGTTCTCAACAGAGTCCAAAGGTTGAACCAGTGAGCACAGAGGATCAGAACCTCATACGCAGGTCTGAGAGAGCAACGAAGGGTGTACCACCCAAGAGGTATTCAAAGGAGTTTGCTAACCTTGCATATGTTGCTATTGTAAACGACCAAGGACAGATTGAAGCTGTGTCTGAGTCAGAGACAAAGGCACAACAGAGAGTTGTTAACCGAGGTAATGCGAAGTCACACAACCAGAGAGGTACATTGGTTAAACCAGTGGCGGGTAGTTCCAAGGGTGGAACTGACACAACAGGGAATGTTATAAATATAACAACTGTTTGTTTTCTTCTCTGGATGACGCTTTGCTCGCGGCACACATTGATACTTTAGGGGAGTATGTTACCATAAAGCACCAATGCTGCAGCAAGCAAAGGCTCTAGCAGCTCAGCCAGCTGCTTGTGGCTGGAAAGCCAGACAGGATGTTTGTGACTGTTGCCATGGGAACAAAGGGGCAGTCCATTCTGTACTGAGCACCGGATGTTAGCTCAGTGTGTGTGTGTCATTTGACCCGTACTGGATGTACTTGGGAGGAGTTTCGTCTTGCTGTTGTTGAGTGCAGACATGATTCTCTGTACTGATGTAAGAGGCAGAAATAAATGATGTAAATAGTTTTCTGTCTGCTTCTTTCCCTCCCTGGGGACACCAAAGGGGAGAGAGGAAGAACGGTGTGTTCCTCTCATACATCTGAGAAGAATCGCCGGACCTCGCCTGCTTATCAGCAGAGTGGAGACGCGGGGAGGTCGACAGGAATATCTGCCGGTGCCTACGCTGTGGCACATTCCTGTGACCCAGGCAGAATTCCAACATAAAGAGTCCTTAGTGGGACTTTTCCTGTAAATTGCAGGTTCTGGAGTAAGCTTGGGTTTGGCAAAGGCCAAAACAAGATGCTTACTGCTGGCATAGCCACTCTTTTCTGGACTAAAGAACATTATGCTTAACATTACCAAATAGGTGTTTCACTCTAAGCTAGCACATGATTGTTTCTAATGAGATGAGAAGGGGTGAATGTTGGCCATGATTTCAGCAGTGGATGCATTACTGGGAAGGCAAAAGCTAACAAACATGCAAGCAAGCCCACTGTACATCCAGGCTGCACAGCAACATGGAGGCAAGGAAGCCTGCTTGGGACTAGGCTGTCAAAGCTTTGTATAAACTAATAATGGCAACAATCATTCTAGTTTCTATGCTACAGTGCTAGACTACTGAGGTTCATCAGATTTAGATGAGCAGAAGCTACTTACCAATTCTTATCTCTCAGCAATTGCTTCTACGTATTATTTATATGAAGCATGTGAAGTTCTATGTGCATTCTGGGAAAACTCTATATGTCTACGCTATCGATGAGCATGTGTGCATTGGCAGGCACACGGAAGAAAAGCAATAAGTGGGATCAAATCTTCACTCCCAACAGGATTCTTTTTGTGCAGTACTTTGCCAATGTACAGGAGGACATCAAATGAGCTTTTTCAATATTTAGAGAATTGCCTCCCCAGGGAAATTCATCTGATGCCTGCATTGTTGTTTTAAGCACCAGGTTAAGACATCTTTATTCTCTTGATATTTTTAAATGAACCCTCTTTATTTAACTGTATAAACCAACCTTTACAAATAGATCTCAGGGCTGAATATGAATGAGTTCAAAATTACAAACGCATTCTAAATACAAAACAACAATGCAATAAAACGAAGAGGAACAAAACCCCTCAACCAGTTGAAAATACTACAATCTGGGGCAAGCCAGCCATATGGGCAGGGTATAAATAATAAAATAATTATTATAACCTAAAACACCTGGTTGTACTAATCTGGGTGTTATAGATTATAATCTAAAACACCCAGGTTTTGACTGGGTGCTGAAAAAATAGTGTCTGCCCCAAATATTGCTTTTTTTTGGGGGGGGAGGGCATTTCTTGATTAGGGTGCCATCAGCAAAAGAGACCATGTCTTTTGTGCATACATAAGGCTCCTGTTAGGATGTGGGTAGTGCTGTGGTCTAAACCACTGAGCCTCTTAGGATTGCTGATCAGAAGGTCGGTGGTTTGAATCCCCACGACGGGGTGAGCTCCCGTTGCTCGGTCCCAGCTCTTCCCAACCTAGCAGTTCGAAAGCACACCAAAAAGTGCTAGTAGATAAATAGGTACCACTCCGACGGGAAGGTAAACGGTGTTTCTGTGCACTGCTCTGGTTTCGGTGTTCTGTTGCACCAGAAGCGGCTTAGTCATGCTGGCCACATGACCCGGAAAGCTGTCTGCAGACAAATGTCTGCTCCCTTGGCCTGTAAAGCGAGATGAGCGCCACAACCCCAGAGTCGTCTGCAACTGGACTTAACTGTCAGGGGTCCTTTACCTTTACCTTTACCTTTAAGGCTCCTATACATGGAGCACAGCAAAGAGTCTCCTTAAATCTTATGGGGAAAGAAGTAATTTTTTAAACATTGTAATGAGTCACCCCTTCTAATGTGTGTGTTGGGAGACCACCTGCTGCTTGTTGAAACAGCACATGCTCCAGTTCTGGAATTCTTTCAGAAATTCTCCTGATTTACATAGGAATTCAGGAGGCATAGAAAGCAGGGTAAGGCAAGCTAGAGAAATGATAAAGGAAAGGAACAGTGGAAATCCTCTCATCCCCTTGTAATGACACTAGACTTCTTCTCTTATGTGGGAGAATGTTAAAAACAATGCAGATATATTTACCACCTAACGACTGCAATTTATGGCTGAAGAGGAATACGTTCTCTTTATTATTCAGTCATCAGATTTACGAAGTGAGTTTGCTCTGAGTAACCACAGCTATCCCAGTGGAAGCATCGAGTTGAATAGCAATTAAAGCATCCCGTTGCCAGGTGTCAGGCTGGGTCTTGCAAACGTTTATGTCACAATATGCTAACAGGATTAAAGTCGACGGTACGGAAGCAACTGGAGGTTTGCCTTGTGCTGCGCTTACCGTCTCGTGTTATCTTTGGTGTCTCATGCCTAAAAACCTAACACACAGCTACACACAGTGGCGAAACGTAATACCTTAAATCTCTGCCTTGTTCATCTGTTTGGCAACAGAGCCCGGAGTTATTGTTTCCAGAAATGGCAGAAGCAAAATGCGACATGCTCCCGGTGCCAAAGTAAACGGATGAGTATTGGCTGGCGATTAACATCCCCTCCCTGCTATGCCAATTGTTAACACATACCAATTAATTCTTTCTAACAAGCCATTTCTTTCCATGGAACCATCACTCACTAAACTTGGACAGCGCTCTCTGTGGATTTAAGTTACAGCAAAACTGCTCCCCTCATGCACTCTTTTGAATTCATATCAACACCACACCACTCCCCATTCCATACCACCAGTGCTGAACATCTCATGAGACACAGCAGAATCCAAACCTGATTTGAAGTCGTCTCTTCCATCTGTGAAGTCCTTTGCTCCCACTTGGGGTGTATACAGGCACTCTGTACATGTTCAAACCCTCTCTCTTCTCTTTATTATTGTTTCATACGTCCCAGGTCTGAGGGCAGAACCCTGGATTAAACTGAGCCCTGCAAGGTGATAACAATCGGGGGTTTTAACAACCAAAAACCCCTCCAGTCCCCTCACTGAAATTAACAGAATTAAAGGTTTCCATGTTGCAATGGCTTTTTACGCAGTTGATCCTGAATCTTCCTGATACCGTGGTACCTCGGGTTAAGAACTTAATTCATTCTGGAGGTCCGTTCTTAACCTGAGGTACCAATTTAGTTAAAAGGGCCTCCCACTGCCACCACACAATTTCTGTTCTCATCCTGAAGCAAAGTTCTTAACCCAAGGTACTATTTCTGGGTTAGCGGAGTCTATAACCTGAAGCGTCTGTAACCTGAAGCGTCTGTAACCCGAGGTACCAATGTACTTCCATGAAACACCGCAACCTATTGCTAACCTGAAGGGCTGCCATTTCCACACTGGTAAAGCAGAAGGAAATGTTAATTAATTGCCTTGATAGCCCAAGGATCCTAGAGTGATGTACATGGTTCTCCCTCTCCTTACAACAGCCTTGTGAGGCAGGTTGGGCTCCAAGTCACTGATTGGCCGCCCAGTGAGCTTCATGGCCAAATGGGTATTTGGACCTTGGTCTTCCAATTCCTAGTCTGACAATCTAATCGCTATGCCATACTGGCTCTCTTAATATGAAGGTGACTGATCAGCTCTAGAAGTAAATGGGATGTTCTGCTGCTGTACAAACCCATGATACATCACTGTCATGGGGAACTACCCCTGCAAAAAAAGAGAGGTGCTACTGTATTTGCATCTGCCTTCGTCTGTACACAGGTGGGCTTAAATGTGAGTTTAATCAGTTTTAACTTCTCTTTTTTCGCACGTGGAAACTAGTTTGTAGAATCATAGAATTGTAGGGCTGGAAGGGACCCCACGAGTCATCTACTCTAACTCCTGCGATGCAGGAATCACAGCTAAGTGGGAAAAAAGCAGCTAAGTGGGGAAGGGGAGATGATGGGTCTGAAGCAGGGTTGAGATATGTACAGTGCTTTTTTAAAAAATAGGACACACAGTGCATGGAATGCACGCTAAACTGCAGCGTGTGAAACACATCCTAAATACAAACCCTATTAAATAAACACAAGTATAATACACAGCAAAAAGCACAGCAATTAGTGCTGGGTGCTGAGCTGAGATTGTTGCAGGAATGCCTGGGAAAGATCAGTTGTTATTTTAAAGTTATTATATTTATGCAGCACAGTGAATACACACAGCCTGAGCAGAAATAACAGCTCGCTGCCCCAAGAGCTTAGAATCAAAGGTTTGTCAGTGCAAAGCAGCTCTAGCCAGAGTGGACTTTACACTGAACGGATGCTGACAGTTCAATTTTGTGAGATCCGAAGCCCACCGTAGCTTTATAATCTTGCCAATAAAGCAGCGGTTGTTATTTGGAGGAACTAAATGGCCCATAGCTGCCTTTAATATGTTTCTTTTCTTTCTTTTTTCTCTAGGAGAGAGTCCAGAAATGTGAGGGCTTAAGTTCTGAACCAAACACATTACTTTTGGAAATGTATCACGATAACCTAGCCCTAGGGATTAAGATTTGTTACTGAGGAATAGTTAGTAGGAAGTAAGAGGTTTCTCCTCATATGCCATTCCAAGACCCCTTGGCCCTCTTGGGGCGGGGGGAGAGAAAAAATTCTATTTCCCTAATGCCTTCAGACCTCTGGAAAATCTATCAATGCCAGTTAGACACAGGTTTCCCGCCCCCCCCCCCACGCTAGCAGTGGAACAGAGGCCTCCGCACTACTTCAGAATGGACATTTTAAAAAATAATGATTTTCATGCATAACCAATGTAGACTACATTTGAGGCACTGACTCAAGAGGCGAAAGCTGCTGTATCCCATTACTCATATCCAGAGCCACCAGGACTTCATATGTACGAAGAATTATAGACTTGCAGATTCATCTTGACTTTTCCTGAAGAGAAAATATAATAAACTAGTACAGTGGGTGAGGCAGGTTAATCGCACGCACACACAAGATCTCAGAAGAATGACGAAGCTGTGCGTCTTGTTCCAGTTTTGATGGATTTCTTCCAGTGATTAATTCAACTTGAGGAAACATCATTTTTGGAGTCTGTGGGCTATGCTGGGAATCTGACTCTCTGCAGTAACTCTTGTAAACTTGTTTGTAAAGACTGCATGGAATTTCTTTGGTTTAAAACAAGGAACATGGCCATTTTATTCTTCTTTCTCAAACAATCAAGAGCTTCTAGTTTGGAGCAGTAGTTTGGGGCGAAGCTGTTCATTTTTTCAGTTGTGTAGTTTGGGTTAATGAACAACCGCAGCTTCAACTTACTTCAGCATATGGGTAGGTGGTAATTTATACTGAAGTAATCCTTGCCATTGGGGCTATAACAGATTAATATTTGAAGACTCCAAATCTTCATGTTCTGAAAGCTTAGCTTGCAGTCTTAAAACTACTCCAAGTGGTAGCAAGTGATTGAGAGGAAAGAATCTGTGTTAAGTTTTTCAAATGTATATCCAAATGTTTTTTCTCCTATAATTTTTTCCCAAAACAAAATGTTGTGCAAGCAGAACCAAAACAGTAGTTAAGGAGGAACTTCTTGGAAAGGAGTAACTGTATATATTTTAAACTGTCAACATATACTCCCAATTAATCTTCTTTACACTTAGTGTAATCCGTTCCTTCAACCTGTTCTCATGGGATTTGTCTTCTGGCCTATGAAAATCTTTTTATTTTCTCCCCTGAAATTTTCCAGCTTGACAAAGTCCTTTCCTGATGGATGGACAGAGCAAATAATATAATTTTCCAAGGCCAGGAAATGATGCTGCTGTTGATACATCTGAAAATGGCACTGGTTTTTGTTGTTGTTGTTGCTGTACCACACTGCTGACCGAGCAGTTTGTTTTCTTCCTGGGCTGGGGCTGGCAAGACAGCGCTTCTGTCTAGAGCAGTTATTAAAAAAGAAAACCTAGTCTGTTTGTGCTGGCTTCTTTAATCTTCCTGTAGTCATGAAACTCTCAACATATATTACTGCCTGTAGTTCAATTCGGTGTTATGATATATACATAGTGCTTTTTTTCTAAAAAAATGTTTAGGGGTACTCTTTTCCCTACTCATATTGAAATACTGCCCCTCAGTGAGGCCAAACTTAGATTCACAAAATGTTTAGGGGTATGTGTACCCCTGCGTACCCCCCAGAAAAAAACACTGTAAACACATATATATTTTCTTTTTAAAATCCCTTTTGCTAAAGCTGGACAAATGGAATACCTGAGCACTCAGATGCATTTATGCAACCAAAGTCTGTATTTCCTCATAGACAATCTTCCACTGAGCCAGTGAGAGCCAGTGTGGTGTAGTGGTTAAGAGTGGTAGACTCGTAATCTGGTGAACCGAGTTCGCGTCTCCGCTCCTCCACATGCAGCTGCTGGGTGACCTTGGGCTAGTCACACTTCTTTGAAGTCTCTCAGCCCCACTCACCTCACAGAGTGTTTGTTGTTGGGGAGGAGGGAAAGGAGATTGTTAGCCGCTTTGAGACTCCTTCAGGAAGTGATAAAGTGGGATATCAAATCCAAACTACTCCTCCTCCTCCTTCTTCTTCTTCTTCTTCTTCTTCTTCTTCTTCTTCCATGGTTAGCTTGCCAGTAGTATGTGAGGTCGGAGCACAGAGCAACATGGGGGCAGTAATGGATGTGAGCCTTGTCCTTTTACAGTGGGCTTCATTGCAGTCACATAAAGGTCTGAGTTTTCTGCACAAAGGTAATCTAGGAGCGTGTGTAACAAGGCCAGTGAGGGCCATGGCCTGGTCAGAATCTCAAGGGTCTGGTAGAGAGGCCTGGAGTGCCACACTAGCATTCCCTGCTCCTAGTTCTTTAGCTACTTATAATGCCAAGGCCAACTCTTGCTCCTGGGTGGATAGTGCACTTCGTCTCACTCACCAAACCTGGTACCCCTTCTCTTGCCCTAGAAAACTAGATTGGCTGTGAGTTCTGGAAGACCTGCTCCCTGCCTTGGAGGCCTTTTCCCACCTGGCCTGAGAGGGCAGGGCCCTGACTGACTCCAACTACAAAAGCTGACGCTGCTGAACAGATACTTGGGCTGGGGTGTTTTTAAGGAGGTTGGGGGGGGGCGTTGTTGTTGATGTCATTTATTTGTATCTTTATTTCTAGATCTTATAATGACTTGTGTGGAAACTGTTCAATTATGGTTGTGTACTTTTTGATGTGTTTTATTGTTTATTACTGCTTTTGTTATGTTTGCAATTATGTAGTCTTTTCATGTTGTAAGCTCCCTTGAGCATGGTTTTAAACTATGGAAAGGCAGCATGCAAATTAAACGAGGATAGGAAGACACCTCCCTGAGATACCTTGCAATTTTAGAAATCTGGCACATACTGAAGGATGCACGCCAGCAGTGGGAAGAAATCAACCTCAGATTTTGTTTTTTGTTGGGTAAGATTAGGCTGAACTTTATTAAATATAGTTTTACATCATGTACTTTAAAATATTCCCTCAAGCACACATTCCTGTTTTTTCTAGTAAAATATATCCGGTAAAAGTATTTATTCCTCATGAATGGTTCCTGTTTAGTTCAAGTTCCTTCCTTCCTCTTGAGGTTATTAAACTGGTTGGTTTATTAATTCATTATTAGATGTCACTATTCTTTAATTATAATGTGGTTTAAGTCTCCTCCCCCTGGAAAAATGGCCAGTCTATTAGACGAGCCCAATAGATCATTCTGACAGGGTTAGAGACTGAGCCCCTCAAAAGGGCATACAGTGTTAGCAAGCAGTGGCTGTTGATATGCCCTAACTCACAGCTGCTATTTTCCAGCTGCTGTGCTATACATAAAAAAAAATATTTAAAACTGCAACGTTGTTTGTTCAAAAACCCAACTCGCTGTGTATTTTCCTTCATTCGACAAATGTGTTAAATATCATACAGGTTAAGCATTCCATTTAAGAGACATATGGCAAATAAAGGCACCTTACCAAGTCTCACAGAATATAAACACCTTCTGGAGATAATGAATAAATATTCATTGCACGCAAGAAGAACATATTAACCTTTCGGGCTTCGAATATTTGCTTTGCTCATGCAAAGTCAACTCTTCTTTTCGAGACAGTCTTTAACTCGATCGTTTCTCAGAACCACTGAAGGAACACAGAGGACTTGAAGTGCTCAAATATCACATGGAGGAGGGGGAAAAACAAGTTTCTGCACTATCTTATTGTAATTGCCAATTTAGTTTTAATGAAATGTCAAATGCATATTATCTGCTGCCACTGCCAGCTGTTTCAGATTTTTAGAAAACGAAAATGGTGGTCCGGAGGAATTTGCCAAAGATTTCATAGCTGGCTTATTTCCGTTGGATCCATCTGCTAGATAGTCCTTTCAAAGGGAAATCTCCATTATCCATTGTCTGCTTGAAATATGCTATTGCTGGATGTTATGGGGTGAGAGACATGTGAACTTATTAACATTATGAACATGATACTTATAGGCTGTAGCTTATTGTGCTTTATATTGGATTAGGTAAGCCATACTCTTGCTGCTGTATCAGCTCTGACCCCGTATGGAAAATCTACGTGGCCTTTTAGATGAAAATTATATTTATATACCTTCCTCCAGCAAGCACATCAGGCAACAAAGGCAGAGCCTGACACAACATCCCCAAACCTTTGAACCAGTGTATTTTCCTGGTTCTTGGCTATGGTTGGTTGCTGGACTCACTTCACTTGTCATTAGCTGAGGCCAAGCTCCTTACTCTAGATCTCCTTGTATCCAGTCCCAACACGGTATCTGTGACCCTTCATGCAGTGCTCTAGGTTCCGGATTGCATCTCACTCAGCAGAGCTGGTACGTAGATCGATTTGCCTCAGGAATACAGTTTGGACCATTAGCTTTTGTTCTTTTACAGATCTATGGTGATGTGGCCAGGAAGGCCACAAACAGGACGAGAAGCACTCCATTGCCTCTTGAGACAGATGGATGCCAACAACTGGGGCTGGTGGGAGTTGAACAACATCTGGAGATCTTTCCCCTTCCCATTTCAGAGTACCACAGTCATGTACATATGCTAAGAGTTTATCCTGGTGTCCTGCTCATCCATTCCTAGTTCCCTTGCCTCCTTTTTTCTCCATCCAGTTTTTATACAGATTTGTGAAGGCCCCACTGTTAAGCACATGTGTTCTCTAAACTGCACTACATTTCAGCAATCATAGTAATGGAAACTTCCCTCCTTTTTGTCCCAGCAATGCCTCTTCCATTTTGCTGAACAGGTCAAATAAACATGTGTCTCTTGAAATCAGGGTTTCATAAACACATCCGGCGCTGCCTGACTGGAGACACCTTTCCTCTTGTTCTGAGGTATTTATACAATTTACAGCAAGCTGTCTTGGAAGGTTGACTGACGCTCTCCAGCATAGCCAGGAGCATCTGCAAACTCTGCATATTAAATTAAGAAATTCTCTCTCTCCCCCCCTCCCCCGCCACATCCTCACAAGTTCCTACAGGAGAACAATTTCACCCCTCAGCATTTTGCCTTTGGCGCAGTACAAGGTTAAACTTTCTTTTCATTAACCTGACTTGGTGCCACTTGAAACAACAACAACAACAAAACAGTTAAAGGAACATTCTGTGCCCTGTTACTTATCTATTTGTCTTAATGTGCCATTAGCATGATTCACTCTGATAATTTAGTTTAAGGCTCAAATGTCTATACAAATATTATAGATTTGCACTGCTGTTTTTTATAGACAGCCATGCCACATCTGTACTGCCTCTTGAGTAAATATCAGGTTAAATCCCTATGGCTGATTACCAGACATAAGCATGCCAGCTGATATTATTTTATTGTCTAGAAGATTAGGACACTTATATTTTTAAGTGTTTTAATTTTTTTAAAAAACACCCACCTATCCACCCAAAGACCTATTTTGGTGCCTTGAATGTGGTGTTGTAAAGGAATTATGCATCATATGAGGCACTTTATTATTACGTCATGTATTCCAAGGCTAATCATTAAAGGCAACTTAGATGCCTCTAAGGCCTGCAGCCTAGGCGGCTGCCTAGTTGGCCTCATGATGGCACTGGCTCTTGGCTGAGGGGAGAATTGAACCCTGAAGCCAGCTCTAGTCCAACACTCTAACCACTGCACTACACTGGTTCCATATTTGTTTCCTGAGGGCTCCAAACTGTACAGGTGTAGACAATAAAGAAGCGGAAGATACTTTGAGATTAAAAAAACAACGTTTTTTTGACAAGGGTCCCACTGTACAGAAGAAATGTTCTATGACATGTAAAGAAGAAATTGCAGGATTACGAGAAACCACAACTAACACAGGTGTCTTTTACAGTGAGTAAAGAGTTTGTTGGAAGCCCATAGTGTATATGTGTAGTGTACCAGCCTCATAGTTAGTGAGTGGGATGCACTGGGAATCATTCAAAAGTTTGGAAATTAGCAATTAGTCATTTCATGACAGAGGAGACAGGAAACCTAGACAAAGTAGTTATTAAAAGGGATCCATTTTTATGTTCAGGCAGGTTCCTACAGGAATCAGGTTGAAGCAAAATTCCAACTTATGAAAGCACCACTTTCAGCTGTGTAGGATATAGTTGGTTTTTGTTTTGAGAAGCTAATTAGGTTTTTTATTATTATTATAAGTCTATTTATATCCCATCTTTGCACCTATAGGCACATTCACTGTGCTCCAAATTAGTATTAGCTGCTGGGAATTAAATCTTGATAGACAGCTATAGGCAGAGCTGGATGTCCGTGCCAAAAACACTCGAGTCTGTGATAAGGAGAAGCAAATTCTGCTGCAATGGCATTATGTAAATACTGGGGGAAATGAATACACATTAATGTATTATAAGTGCAATATTTGCTTTTTGGGGTTTTGGTAAAGTTTTAATTGATTTTTATTGAAAATTTATTCAAGAAAGGGGGGGGGATCCTCAAAAGGGAAAAAAGCACAAAAGGGAAAAGGAAAAAGAAATGCTTCAGTTCAAATTAATGATACAATAAGCAATGCATGGAGACGTATGCTGGTAGAACAGTGGGGGCAATCATTACCTACTATGGGCACCTGAAAACTACTTGAGTTTGAGATTGCAGGTCCCCATTTGCAGTCTTGAGTAGATGCTTGATTTTTCTTTCAAGAAGTAAAACAAATACATCTTTTGTTTCACTTTTAAAATGGATATAGACTTAAATTCTTATAGTTTTTAAGAGGGTTAGATAAAGGAGGGTATTTAAGAGGATATTTATGGAGCATATGGCTATCAATGACTACCAGCCATGATGGCTGCGTTCTACCTCAGGAGCAGGGAACTGGATGCAGCCAACATGCCAGATCCTTACCCCTCCATGGGGCAACTTTGATGGGTGGGTGGAGCTGCCTACCTGTTGATCACCTCATGCCATTATGATATCAGGTGACAAGTCCCAAAGGGCTTGTTTTCAGTGCTGGTCAACTAATGACCCCTTTAAAGGAGTGCCATCAGCACCAATCAGCTGATTGGTGCTGACTCCGCATCTTGCTGATGGCACAACTCTGATTCTCAAAAAGTGTGGCAAAGCTAGTTGTGGTTGTGTGGATTTTTGTGGCTGTCATTTTGATTCCCCACCCTGATATGTTGATATTCTTGAAATATGCTGAGATATTACACACACACACACACACACACACACACACAGTGGTACCTCGGGTTACAAACGCTTCAGGTTACAAACTCCACTAACCCGGAAGTAGTTACCTTGGGTTGTGAACTTTGCCCCAGGATGAGAACGGAAATTGTGCGGTGGTGGCGGGAAGCCCTGTTAGCGAAAGTGCACCTCAGGTTAAGAACGGTTTCGGGTTAAGAACGGACCTACGGAACGAATTAAGTTCATAACCCGAGGTACCACTGTGTGTGTGTGTGTGTGTGTGTGTGTGTGTGTGTGTAGAGAGAGAGAGAGAGAGAGAGTTAGTACTGAGGCAAATGAGTAACTGGAGATGTTTTGTGGACAGATTTGCACTGGTACATATTCTGGAGCAATAAACATTTTCCATTTTTGAGGTGTTTGTAGTTCTGTGTAACCTGACTTCTACACCACAGGGCGGCTTTTTGTATTTTAAAGGATAATCATTTATTAGAAACTCTGACTTGCTCATAAACTATTCAAAGAAGGGACTCTGGGGCTTTGCTCATTAAAAAACGTGCTGACACTGTTGGTCACTTTGTTCTGGGAAGTTTTATGCTGCAGTCAGAGTAAGCATTCCATGCGTGGTTTGCAAAGAAAAATGGCCAATTGATGAAGTCAGGTGCCAGTCAGAGGCTGAGGTGAAGAGAGTGAGACCTCGGCATGGGAGAAAGACCTATTTTACCCATTAAAATGACTTAGTACTTTGTCAACAGTGGAAGTGATGCTATTTCAGTTGAGTCCCCAGAGCCATCATCTGGCTGCGGCACTCTGAGAATGCAGGACGACCGGGCAGTTACAAACGCACCTTACTTTCCTTAGGAGGCAACAGTGGTATTAAAGCACAGTTTAAACATTTACATCTTTAAAATGCAAAAGCACAAAATCAGTTTTCTCTTTGTTCCCCCCTCCCCCATGTCCATAAATTTGCTCTATTTGTCCCCATCCCTCAATATATTTGTCAGCCTAATATCTTCTCTGATGTGCTAGTTTTCCACGTGAAGGTTCTTCTTCCTCTCCTCCTCCAACCCATTGCAGTCTGCAGTGCTAGTGCCTGAACTCTTACTTGTTATTTGTAAGATCTATGCCTCAGTGGGGATTAATCTCAGGGTAGCCCTGTGTCCACCACACCTCAACAATTATCATATTATGTAACACCTTGTTTTTAACAATGTTGATTCCTTTTTAAATTCAGAATACCTGCGTTATTCATGTTAAATAGTTTGATATAATACATTGTATGGTATTTTCCCCCCTCACATTCTAAGGTTCTCTTAACACCTTAATCCGTTGCTTTAATAAGGGAGACCTTAAAACAAGGTGCAAACATATTTTAAAATAATTAAAATTTGAAATCCACTACACTCAGGGAATAGACGCAGGGAATAGAGGCTTTCACAGCGGCCCCTGCAGCAGAAATGGGACAAAGCACCGGGGGCAGAACAAAATCAGGAGCACACAAGGGATCACTTTTTTTAACACTGTAGGTTCCAGGGTTTGGGTCCTGAGTTGAGGGAGCTTTTGCTTCTCTCCTTCCCTCCCTCCTCCGCTTGCCTGCCTTCTTCCCATCCTCTGCCTGCCTATGGTCAGCGCCAGACTCTGCTCTGTGGGGCTTTCAGTGTGGCTCCTCCTCCTCTGAGGAGACCCAAGGAGACTCCTGAGTCGGTGGAGGGCGGCGGACCCGCTGCTAGGCGCCCCTGCTGGGCGGGTGCCATGGCACATGGCGCCACTCAGCCAAATGGAAAAGACGGCCCTGTATGGAATTGCTACCACAGGATATATCAAAGGCCACAAGCTTGGTTGGACAAATTAATGGAGAGTAACTCTTGTCAGTGGCTACTAGCCATGATGGCTATAATAGCTCAGTACAGGTATGCTCTGAATACCAGTTACTGAGGATTACAGAGGTTATCCTTCATCTAACCACCAAGACAGAGTTCACAATAAAGCAAAACTTGATGGGGTTTCTGTAGAGAGCAATTCTCGAGCCTATTGCAAATCTAGGTCATCCCTTGCCCCAACTGATACTGAAATGGTAACACGGAAACAATTCCTGAACCAAAACACAGTTACATAAGAACAGCAAGTGCCTATGATTGTATTTGTTCTTTGTGCTCTGATGACAGTTGTAAAAGTTGCACATGCAAATGCTAGCCATCTGCAAAACCCACCAGAGATTGCAGACTGGCCTCTGCAAGCAATGTTTTCAGTATTATAAAAGATAATAAAGCTATAAAGAGGCAGAGGCAGCTGCTGGGATTCTCTGCTCTCCAGGTGTTGTTTATAGGCAGGCAAACAGGCACCTTTCAGAATACGATGCTTTAAGGTCACTCTGACTGCAGGCAGTTGTCAGAGATTAAAGGTGAGCTGAGTGCAGATGAACGTGAACAACATATTTGCCATATGTGCCTGGGGAACTTTGGCATGTTTTTTGTTCTTAGCATTCCTGTGCAAAGCCACAGCTTTCCATATTGGATGGTAAAGAATGCAGTATATCATTTGCAGTGCAATTCTATACATGCCCACTCAGAAGTAAACTTTGGTTTGTTCAACTGGACTTTCTCATAACAACAATGTAAGGAGAGCCATGCTGGATGTGACCAAATGACCATCAAATCTTGCATCCCGCCCCCATCCTTTTCTCAGGGCTTACAATGGCTTACGATCTGCCAGTCTCAGCTCAGCTAGCTGAAACCCAGCTGAGCAAGGATGGTGGACTTGTGGTAGAAGATCTCTGGCTGGGCTGGGGTTGGGGACCTACCGTGCCATACTAGCCCAGCTGAAGCAGAGAAGTAACCATCTGAACTGGAGACCTACTGGATCCCTGGTTCCCCACTGGATCTCTGGTTCAAATGGTTAGTTCCCACCTCAGCTGGGCTAGTATGTCAGTGTAAGTCCCCAACCCCGGCGGATCTGAGCAAAGGATTGCTTCTTTTTGTACATAATGGAAGCTGTTGGCACAACCTTTTATTTATTTGATGGCCACCAATTTGGGCAGCATTAAAAGTAGATTAGTCAAATCATTGGATGAAAAGGCTTTGCTTGAAAACTACATGGCAATTTCTTGAGCAGTGTACAGTCCCCCCCCCCCACTGAATAAAAACAAACAGTGTCAAAGTTCTTTGAGACTCTGCAAAGACAATGTCCCAGGTGTAAAAGTCAATGAAATACAAACAATTCACCATGGTATTATATTCTTTGGCTGTCCTTGAAGTCTTTTTTCTTTTCCTACAATTTCTACCCCCAACCATGTTCTCTTTTTCTTCCCTCGCAGTTATGTTTTGTGTTTTCTAAATTACAGGTTTCTAAGGGAGGATGATGTCATCTGTCATGCAGCGCTTAATAAATATGAGCAACAGGGAATATATTTTAGTTAATAAGTAGTTAAAGAACCCCATCGAAACATGCTGGGCTGTTTATACTTGCAATGCAGTCCCATGCGTGGTTACTCAGAAGTAAGCCCCACATTCGTTAATGGGGCTTACTCCCAGGTAAATGTTCACTGTCGTGCAGCTTATAGTCATAGCCTAGTCACTGGCCAAAAGGCCCATGCTGCCTTGCTTCCTATTATCATCTCAAAATGAGCACAGTGTAATTTTATTCCCCACTGTTTCTCTTCTTAGAAAACAGGGCGCCACTGTGTGCACATGGCTCTAGATCATGATCAGCATACGCCGGGGGTCAGCAACCTTTTCCATCCCTCAGACCATGTGGTGGGCCGGACTATATTTTGGGGAAAAAATTGAACAAATTCCTGTGCCCCATAAATAACCCAGAGATGCATTTTAAATAAAAGCACACATTCTACTCATGTAAAAACACGCTGTTTCCCGGACCGTCTGCGGGCTGGATTGAGAAGGCGATTCGGCAGCATTCGGCCCCCGGGCCTTAGGTTGCCTACCCCTGGCATACACTAAAGAGAGAGAGATCCTATTGGCATAACACACATCATAAATATACTTTCTCCAGAATCCCCCCTGCCTGAATGCTAGGACCTTTGCGTTTGGCTAGGCAAGCAGGTGAAAATGCCTATGGCCTTTGCAATTTGATAGCATGTAGTAGACCATCAATAGCATTGCAGTTTGCACAACAGCTCACAAAGCACCTTTGGGTGGCAATCGGCTAACAAGTTTAATTTAATCTAATAATAGTCATAATAATAATCATAGTTTTGAAAGGTCTGCTGGCCTCTGTCTTTAATTTTCAAATTTACCAATTGCTGGAGATTTCAACAAAGTCAACAAAAATGTCAGTGTGGTTTAAAGGCACATGATGCGACACTTTGTTGAAGCTAAGCAGATTTGGATCTGGCCAGTGTTTGGATGGTGGTCCATCTGGGAACCCCTGTTTGTTTGTTTGTTTGTTTGTTTGTTTAAATTTATATACAACTTGATTGTTTCTTTGTTCTGGTACCAGGGCCCAGGAATGGACCATATACCACTTGATTGTTCTTTTTTACTTATATAAAGCCTTCAACGTGCATGGCACTTTGCACACTATAAGAAGACTGGTTCCTGTCCCAGAGGTTTTTTGTATATCATTCACCATCTTTATCTGCAATATTGAGTGAATGTAATCTTGCAAACTTCACACCACTGCTTTTTTCAGGCGGAAATGGTAGCATATGGTTAATTAAATTCATGCAAACCTGAATCTGTATAGGTAACCAGGTTCATTAAGCAATGAAAATATTGCAGTCTTGATAATACCTTAACAAGTCTTTTGCACATCATTACAATGTCATCTACCTGAAAGATGAGTGAAGTGTTTGCACTGTTAATTAATCTACCCGTTCTGTATGTTTAGGTCATTAAATCTGAGGTGTTGCGTTTTTTTCCCAGACAGAAGATGTCATGTGCCTGAAGAAAAGGCTGAGCTTTGAAAGTTTGGCTATTCTTCTGCCAACAGATGGTGGTTAGCTAATTAAGTTTGGGAGATGCTTCTTGTTGTTAAACACCAAGAGCAAAAACTAGGGAGTTTTGGTAAATGGGGTCTTGCTAAGACCTGCTACTTTACCCTTGTGCCATTCCTATTCATTTCATAGGGTTTACATAATGAGAACTTGCCAGGGGATTCAGCCTTTGAGTACTGGAATGCTTGTTGTGGTGACTCTAAAATCATTTAAAAATGTCTAAAAACACAAAGGACTTCACCTTCCATTGACGGAAAGGCTTTGTCTAGCCACAAACCCCGGTGGAGTGATCCTGCTGGCAGTTGGGGTGGGGAGAATCAGCAGAAGACCTCTCCCCTTTTCTGCCATTGGTGGAACTGATGCCCATATCCAATCCCAGAGCTGCTAAAGCAACAGGGGATTGTATTTAATGGCCACTTTGCTCTCTCACACCCAGTTTTCTCTGACCCCCTACTCGAGATCCTAGATATTGGAGCCCTCTGCATCATTTCCTGTACAGAGGGTCCCCCAACTCTCAGCAGCAGCTTTGGGAGGGGAGGTGTTGCAAAGGGCCACAGTGGATAGGAGCGGTTAGCAAAACATGAACGTAAATGGTTGACATAAATGAAAAAGCCTCAGATACAACTCATGGATCCATCCAAGGGGTGGATTACTTACCTGCAAATCCCAGATTTTTCTTCTTCTCCCTGCAAGATCCCACTGATCTTTTTGACAGCAATGGCAAAGGGGCAGAGGGTTTAAATAGGCACTGCTGAGGTGGACAGGGATAATTAATTAAATTTGTATAGGAATGTTTAAACCTCTCCTGGCAGCCCAGACCGTTATGTATTGAAGTGCTCACCCTGGCCACCAGGGGTATTGTGTATATAGTTTTCACTCAGGTCCACCTCAGTTAATTTAGGCGGGAAACCCTGGGGTGTTGTTGTTACAGTGTTGACAGCCGGCTGCCTATAAAAGCAAGCCAACTGAGCTGTTCAGTTCAGTTCAGTTCAGTTCAAGCTTACTATAAAGAACCACTTGGAGAAATCTCTGTGTCGTCTGCTTTCTCAACCCATTACTTAATACAGATCATGGTGGGAAGGCACGCCACTCCCTTCCTGGTTATCAGATTGATCATTTTGATAAGCAGAGAGCACTGTGTGTCTCTGTATGTGTGTTGTATGTGTAAGACTCTGGGTTAGCCACTCTCACTGCAGACATGTGGTTTCTGGAGTATGGGCCAATGGTCAATGCAGTCCTTGGGCCCCCCAAAATCCCCACCCCAGTCTTCTTCTTCTTTGGCAATCACTTCTGGCTGAGCAAGATTGTCTTTCATGAATATGGTCTTAACGGTGTGTCTGTGAGTGACTGTGGAGGCCAGTTTTGGATCCATACATCTTTTCACAGTGGGGACATAGGTTTCCAGGTGAGAGTTGCCGAACGTGCCTTCCTCTTAGCACAGTTCTCCCTTTCGTGCTTCTTCAAAGTCCATGATGCCTTTGGTAGAGGCTACACTCGCAGGCCAGCATTTCCCAATTATCCATGCTTATACTGCATTTTTTAATATTTACCTTGAGAGTGTCTTTAAACCTCTTTTGTTGTCCACCAGCATTTCACTTTCCATTCTTAAGTTGGAAATAGAGTAGTTGCTTTGGAGGACGATAATCAGGCATCCGAACAACATCACCAGTCCAACAAAGTTGATATTGAAGAATCATTACTTTGATACTGGTTTTCTTTGCTTCTTCCAGTACACTGACATTAGTTTCCCTGTCTTTCCAAGTGATATGTAAAACTTTTCAGAGACTTTCGAGGAGTTGGATATGGTGTTTATAAGTGATCCACATTTCACAAGCATGCAGCAAAGTTTATAGTGCAATAGCTTTGTAAACAAGCATTTTGGTTTCCCTAAGAAAGTCCTGGTCCTCAAACACTCTGTGACTGAATCAGGAGAAAGCTGCACTCGCAGAGCTCAGGCGATGCTGGATTTCAGCATCAATGTTTGCCCTTGTGGAAAGATAACAGTCCAGGTAGGAAAACTGACCGACACTTTCCAACGTTACATCATTAAGTTGGATTTGTGGCACTGCAGAGGGATTGTTTTGTGCTTGTTGGTGCAGCACTTTGGGGTTTTTTCATATTGAGTGAAAGGCCAAGCTTTTCTTAAGCTTCTGCAAAGATGTTTAGGATAGTTTGAACCCCTTAAACCTCTACTAGCAAGCATGAACCCTGCCTTCATTTTGCCCTGCTCAGCTTCCTTATGCTACTCTGCAAGTAAAAAAGAAAGGGGGGGAAACCCATAGATTATTTAAAATAATCTTTTAAAAACAAGCCTCCTATTTCATGGCTTGTTTCTTTTTTTAAAAGTCCTCCTAATATGAGGTAGCTTAATTCAGGAACTGTCATGCTTTGGGGAAATAAAGAGCCTAAGCCCCGTGTAATTCAAAACATCAAATTATATGGCCATGAAAAATTAGGGTTTCTAATGGCAATGACAACTGACAGTCCACTAAAAGCGATAATGTGAATGGCACTATAGAACATGATATGTCTGTCTTTGCAGCCTGCTGCATATGGAGATATAAATTATCCAGTTAAGCCAGAGATGGAAATGATGGCTCCAATCCAAAACAGACTCTACCACATGAACAAAGACTGGAGATTCTGAGCGGACTAGGTCATTAGTTATGTGATTAGACCAATGCCCATCCATGCATATTTCTAATTAAGTGCTTTGCATTGAAAATATACAGGCCTATAGCAACAGCTTAATTTAATACACATTTAACCACCATCAATGAGAGGAACCCTTTAAATTTAATCTAATATACTTTTATTTCCAATTTATTTCTCAACTTTTGACCAGGAGAAAAATTATGTACTGCAAAACTAGTTAAAATCCATTTAAAGGCACAAGAACCAATACAAAGCAATAGAAGAAACACACTGAAATCATAGCTGTCAAAATGGCAGCACTACAATCAACCAGACGTCTCAGCCCATTATCCCCAGAGGCCTTTCTAAATGCAATAGTCTGAAGGCCACAGAGAACAAGCAAAGTGGTCCTCTAATAAACCGATTCCGTCCCTGGAAAGCAAAGTCCATAATGACAGCACCACCACCAATAAGTCCCTGCTCCTTGCATACAGTTCCAAAAAGCTAGTACGCCTCTTCAGAAGACCTAAGCATATGGAGAAGACTTGCACATAATTAATTTGTTTATTTGTTTAATCTCACAATATTTATACACAGCTTGATTGCAAAAAACAAACAAACCCAAAAGGTTTACAAAAAAGACATATGCAGCCATTTAACTGTACAGTTCAGCTACTAGCTATGAAGTAGCACACTAAAGTAGTTACTTTTAAAAACTTGGGACTCAGCTACACAGCTGCAAATAAAAAAAATTAAGTGTGTTGTAAAGTGCATTGTACAAATGTGACACTAGATGGCTATGGTGAGCTATGGCAAATTCAATATATTTTTCTAAAAAAAATTAAAAAGCATTTTTACAACATTTTCTTTAAAGTGTGTCTAGATTCCACCTTGGTCTTTTTCACAAGCTGAGTTCTCTCTCTTCAATTTGAAAACAAAGAAAGTACCATGGCCAGCGGTAGCACACTCAGATGTTGCTGCATGCTGGGGTTGATAAGGGGGGTCATAAGAATGGGTCCTGGTATCATAACTATTAGAATTTCTCTCTTCCTGTCAGATATTTCACTTAAGTTTGGTTTCTGAGACAGTTTTCTTCACAGCACGCCAGGAATGCATAACCGGTAACCGCATCATTACTTTTGCTCTATGTCATTATACTAATTGGGGCTTTCCTATCTTAAACACATTTTAGGCAAACTGGGCTTGTTTCTTTAATTAATCTTCTTTAACACAAGGAAACTGGGTGAACCCAGGAAGGTCAGAATCTGGGTCCTTTTTTGTATAAACTGTTCGAACCATGTAAGCGGTTTCTCCCCAGACAACATGAGGCAAAAGGTTGTTGGATGGAGGTTTGTTAATAAATGATTGAGAGGTCAGTAGTTCTAGGATAAGCATTTGATAAGCCACAAACTATTTGAAGCGATGTGTCCTTTGATCTGCCAGAGCCTCTGGCACATAGAGAAATGCCATCGTGCACCAAAGGCCTTCCTAATGTTCCCAGTGATGGTGTGCAAAGAATGCTTCAAAGACCAAAGTAGGTGGTGGGTGGGAAGGCCTTTCACCTCAGCTTGATTAGTGGACCTTTAAATCAAGAGACTGACCTCCCTTTCAAAGAGAAGCATCTGCTTGCATTAAAGCAAATACATTCAACAGTCTATGAAAGACACTTGGTTTTTGTCTATGGAAGACATTAAGTTGCGTCTCCAGAGTTTTGGTATTCAAGCCTATTCACCACCTCTCAACAGCCTTCACCTGCAAAGCCACTTTTAGATGGGAGGATGCTAAATGAGTTCCACCTCCCATGGGTTTCCCCGCTATCTGTTGGCACCCACAACACACTCTCAGATTTCAAATGTGCCCTCTGGTCCAAAAAGGTTGCATTTCCACCGTAAACAATGCCAGCTTTCCCCCTTGCTGCCTTATCTGATGCACAAGATCCGTGTGATGCCATCTCTTCAAATTTCTCTGCAAAGCCACGAAGACTTTGGTGCATCATATCAGTCCATACATAATGCTATAACAAAGCTACGTACATCATTTAACTGAAACAAATGCATACTCCTTGTCTATTTAGCCCGCCTCGCACTTCCCATTTCCCACATGACATATTTTTAGATTTTAATCCCCTTTTGACTTTTTTCACATTGTAAAGTGCCATGCAACATTGTCATCATAAACACATATTGGCCAAAAGCATTCAAAATTTTCAATTAGAGCTTAAAAACAGCAACAACCCAATAACATTTGGCAACGCCAGCGCAAACTATTTGCATGGAAATTAGTTTTTAGACACCTGCTATCTCAAGAACTCAGGAAGTTGCAACAGTAAGTTCTTTGGAAAGCCAACCTGCAATTGTTGGGGCATGCCACTTCACCACCAGTAATACTATTGAGAGAATTCCCAGAAATGCAGCGACTCTCAAGAGGACATCCATCCCATTCCAATAACAATTCAAATGTCAGTAAGCTGGAGCTGTGGGCAAAGATGAGGTTCAGCCAGCAGACAAACAGCTAGGTTTACTCTATTGACATCTTAAACTGCACATTGCCCTCTTTCTGACGACAGTTGATGGTTTTCTGGTTCTTATGGAAACTGCAATGTTTAGATTGACTCTCTACTTCCTGCGCGTGTGATGGGTTCTCACTGTCTGAAGATCTGTTTCTCAGAAAAAGCTTTCGCCCACCACCCAGGAATGTTTAGAAATGTTTATTTGTCTGCCTGTGTATCAGCATGTCCATGGCTGTGGGGGCGCATGTTTGTAAGTTTAACTAAGTTTAAGTAAACTTTCTGGTTTGACGCTGATAAGGGTCAGATGAAAGTAATCACTGAAACAGCTGCCTGGAGCAATAAACAGAACAGCTTTGCACCTCATGTCTCCCTTAAAGGTAGCACCACACTGATATTATCAAATGGAGAGGTGTAATAACATATTTGTACATTTGGACCAGTCAGTGTGTTGCACTAGTAATAGTGAGGATTAATTGTATAATTACATCATTAGCAGCTCAGCAAAATAGCTGAAATAGAAGCTGCACCCACACTTCTCTGCTCCCCCGTAACCTTTCCCAAATACATCCTTAGCACTCTTCCCTATACAAACCGCACTCTCAAGCATTCCCACCAACCACATAGATGACACAGCTAATCCCCAGTCAACAAAATGTCCAGGCTACAAAAATATCTCTGGTAGCATTAAGCATGATTTAGAACCAGCTCGTTTGCCCACCGCCATCTACAACTATGCAGTGACAAACAGCGACATCGCTTCTCCCTGCCCATCTTCCACCCAGGTAGGGCCTTACTCTGTACTGATTCAGTCTCTGACACTGAGTTGCATTATGCAGCTTTGAAACACAAGCATTACAGATTATCGCTCTGGGAGGCAAAAGCACAATGCCAGTTGCCACCTAATAATATATCACTTACCTCCTACTAAAGAATAAATTCAATAATGCATCATAATGATGCTATGGAACATGATTCACAGGTGAGGGCAGGGTCCCACCCACCTGCCAAAGTTGATGGGGTGGGGGAGATAGTGAGCAGGATTGAACTCCCTGCCCATCATCAATCCTGCTTTCTTCAGGCTTCAGGTGTGCAAAGTAAGTTTCAGGTAATGGCACCTCTTTTCTTCAACAAAAAAAGCTCTGAATATTGGAAACTGCATGGAAAATAACATTTTCCAAAGCCTACTAATGCCAGATTCTGGTTGGGGCAATGGTTATTACAAGCAACATGCCATGGTGCTTGACGAGATTTAGCACACATAGTTTTTCAAATAGCATGTTCAGAAATGGTTCTGAGAACGGGCCCAGAATACTAAGCTCATGTTAGAAAGAAACCTCAGCCGAAGTGACAGATCAGTGACCGCTGCATAAATTAACAGACATAATATTCACGGCTACATTCCCTAGAGAGTAAACGTAGACATTTTGAAATATCAACTCCTTCCCTATAATTACAAAGCTACGTAGTCAGCCCCAATAGAATGGGTGCCAGGAGGTTCCTGGCATCTAACCCCAGAGGTTTCTATGAATCACTCTGGACCGCTTGACCACTGATTTATCTGTCTGCAACACCCGTAAATAATGAGCACTGTAGCCTTGAAAAGCATATACTGTGTCAGAGTCATTCTTTCCCAGACAGATGCAAAGGTAATGGTAGAGAGTAGACAGTGTTCATTCAATAAGCTGCTAGTTCTGTTCTAGTTTATTTATATACCATGGGGGGGGGGCAAAGGGCCCCCAAATAGTAAACAGAATATTAATGCAAAAAAGGGAAGAAACAGAACACTATACTATAAAAGAGCAAATCACCCAAAACCCACCACTGGGTATACCTTTGTGAACTGTATTCCTACTTTTAATACAGATGTGGCTCCCCAGCATTCCATCTCTCACTAGCAAGCCGGGTTAAATCACATCTCCAACTCTCCAACCTGCAGATGCTCCAGCCTCTCACCTAGGAGCAAGTCTATCCTCAACCAGTCACCCATGGGGCGTGTCCTCACCCTCATCGCACCCTGAAGGAGTGACCCACTATTAGTGTCCAAATAGAGCTTCCTTCTATATCATGTATTAAAGTAGAGGTAACCAATAAGCCCCTCCCCAACTGCAGATGTTTGGGACTACAACTCCCATCAGGCCCAACCATGGCTAATAGTCAAGGGAGATGAGATTTGTAGTCCCACCTGGAGGGCACCACATTGGCTAACCTTATATTAGAGTCTGCCAGGAGTTAACCAGAACAATGGCTCTGGTAACAGATATAAATGTTCCTGTGATCAGGGCATCGACAAGCCTACATTATCGTATCTGTGTGCAAAAATGCCTGCTTGCACAGTATAGAATTCAGATTAAGAGAGCCTTGGCTTTCCTCCTTCTTTAAAAGTTAATCCCTATGTCATTAAAATTCTCCTTTTTTTGCTTTTGTTCAGTTGTGTGGTGCATTAAGAGCTGCACCTTATAACACACCTTTTACCATATTTGATAAAGTTTCTCAACATGAAAGTCACATTGGTTAGAACTAGGTTTTGCCAAAAAGTGGTGTTGATGATATTGGCAGCAACCTGCAGGGCCTCCTTACCCTCTGTGACATGTCAATCAACTTAACTTGTGCCCAGATGTCACTGTGCTGAGTTTTAGATTATACTCGTTAGTTTTATGCTGGTTGTAATGTGTGTGTGATTTATTTGTATTTGTCTTTTTTGTTGTAAGCTACTTTGAGTTACATTTGGTAAAAAAGAGAGAGAGAGAGAGAGAGGAAAAAAGATGATGATGATGATGAAGATGACGATGATCCTTGCTTTAGCATTGTCTGTCATTACCCTCAGACAGGAAGGCACTGACTCCAGAACAGGAGGCAAGTTGCAGGATATATTTTAAATGAGAAATATTGCTGGACTACAATTCCCATCAACCCCCAGCCAGAATAGCTAATAGCACAAACAGTTCAGAACCATGATACCTCAAGGATCGCCTCTCTCCATATGAACTGACCCAGACCCTGCAATCATCATTTGAGGTCCTCCTTTGTGTGCCTCCTCCACGAAAGGTATTGAGGGTGGCAACACAAGTACAGGCCTTTTCTGCAGTGGCTCCTTAATTGTGGAATGCTCTCTCTAGGGAAGCTTGCCTGGCACCTTTGCCACATATATTTAGGCACCAGACAAAAGCATTTCTGTTTTCCCAAGCTGAGGCAGGCAAGAGCCCACAGCCCACAGCCCACCTCCCTAGCTGGCCAGGTGGGACTCGCTAGCTCTGTGAGGAGATGTGTGATTCCTCAGCTGGAGTGGGCTTGGAACAGGTGAGGGTCACATGCCTCATCAAGCCCAGTTGCTGCAATCAGCAGGCAAAGTAGGCCAGGGAAGCAGAGCTGAGGGGCTGGGTCTGCTCAGCTGTCCATGATACTCCAGGATCTGAGGGACTGTGCTTCACTTTGGACTTCGGACACTTGGATGGACCCTAGACTGGGGACTTGGCATACTGACTTGCTGCCAGGTAGGCCAGGGGATCAGGGCAATATGGCCTTTTAAATGGGGAGGGGGGCTACTGTTTTTGTTTGTTACCATATTGTGTAATTTTGTGTTTCTATGTTGTAAAATGCCCTGTGATCCTTGGATGGTTGTGGTATAGCAATTTAACGAATAAATAATTGCCAGAAATGATGGGAGTTGTAGTTCAAAGATATCTGGGGACTCAAGTTTGGGAAAAGTTATCCTACTGGTTGTAGTTGTAGTTGCGGAAGGACCTGCAAGCTGGGCAAAGACACTAGATTCAAGAAGGTTTGTTTTGAATATTTGTTCCCATTCCAAATAGGTTGTTCAACTGGGCTACCTTAGGTAGTTCTCTTCTGAAGGTCATGTTTATCTGCTTCATAACACAGCTGGCATCTGTGTATCTGTGTTTGCTTAATTCATTGTTTACCTTTCGATGATTTCATTCTCCTGCTTGTTTTGTGCAACATGGTTCAGTGGCCCCGACCTAGAAGTCACGTGAGCCGAATTGATCTGGAATGTACATGAAGGCGCTTACATGTGGGTTGTATTTCCGAGCCCACATGTAGGAAAATGAAAATATGTGGTGATTAATGATAATTGGAAAAGATAGGTATCAATGTTTCCAGTCTGTGATAGAAAGCTCAGAGAGAAAAAATTAAGAAGCGCCCTGTGTTTCTGAGATCTGATTATATGGATAATGTGTGAAGAATGGGCTAGGAAGCAAGAAAAAGAGAAATTGCTGGACAAAAATCTGTAACGTGCCCCCATTAGTGTGTCTCTTCTATGCCTTTGCATCATTTTCCACCTGATATGCTTTTTCACTCTTTGGACCATTAACCAAGAAGTCAATGAAAGTAGTTCCTAGAAGAAGGTATAGAAGCATAGAAACCTTAGGGTGTGGGGAGTAGGCATTTTTCGTCACTGTCCCCCAATTCGTTCAGCCACTCTCCAAATAAAGAGCCCATTTAACTACACCACACCCATTGGAAGCAAAAGATCTAATTCTGCCTGGCTGCCAGGTATTCTCTATATGGTCACTACTGCACATTTAAAGAGCAGCCATTGCAGCAGTGACATCAGATGCAGTAGCAACAGCAGCAACATCTAAGACCTGGAAAGAGGAACCAGTGTTCCTACTTTGCCTTATCTTATGTTTACTATATATACATTTTTTGCTTATTGTCAGCCTTCTTCACAGCCTGTTGTCTGGTATTTTAAATAGATGCATAGCCAAAAACAATCTCTTTGGATCTCCTCAGCGTTTTCTCTCCCTGAAGAAAGAGGAATAAGTAGCAGAAAGGATGACTAACACACAACATAGCTTCGGAAGCGAGGGAAGATGATCATGGAAAGAAGCAAAGTGATGTTCCCTTTTGGCAAAAGGCAGGTTAAAAGGGGATTTGCGTTTTAAGCCTGTGATGTGCAACCAGCATGGGAAGATGTTCTGGTGCAACCCTCTTAAAAACATGGTGATGAAGTTTCCACAAATGCAGTTCCTGTCAGAAAACAAAGATTGTGTAATTTGTATTCTTTGGAAAGAGGAGCAATTAAAAAAAAAAGTGGAACTGGGATAAAAGCTCATTCTCACCCTCTCTTCCCCATCGTCACAGCCATGGCTAGGCAAAGCCCCCTGAGAAATTTGACTAGTATCAAAACTGTTGTTGAGCTCTCTCATAATTCTACATGTCTGTATAAGCTGTTTCTTACACACTGCTTGGTTTAGTAATCATTGCAGTTTCTTACTTGGCCTCTGGGATCATTTATGGGCATCTGATGAAATGTAAGAAGGAATGCAGACCTATTTTGAACATCAAAACTACTTGTTTGTGGGGTGTTTTGTAAGACTTCTACGGATCCTAGGCGGGGTCAAATCTCTTTTCTGCCTAAATAGGACTGACTGAAAGAGTCTTTGTGAAGCTAGCCCTTTTGGTAAACATGACATCACCCCTCAATGTCATAAATCTCCTGATTCAGGACAAGAACCAACTAGTTTATAGTCTTGCTTGCAGAGGCACCAGCATTTCAAACAAAGTTAAAAGCTTTCTGCTAGACTATGATGCAACACTGGCTGCCACAATTCAAATGCACACATAAGCGGGAATCACTCAGCACATTTGTGTCAAAGCAAGAAAACCGGGGGAGCTTTGATTTAATAAATAACACAATGTCATTATTATTGTGGTTAATAGGGAAATTTATCTGAGGGTGGCAGATGCGGGAAGTCTTTTTAATGTGGAGAAGTTTTTTTAACCAAGTAAACCTATCAAAATAATCCTGTACCACAGTTTCAATTACTAAATGCCATCTGCCCTCATCCAAAGTCCTGTTATGCACTGTGAGGCAGACACAGAATTCTTTTATGTTTTGTTTCCCCACTAACTTCAGTGGAGAGGGTGACTGAGGGCATAAAGGGATGTATAAAACATAAACTTAAAGAACCCCTGACAGTTAAGTCCAGTCACAGACGACTCTGGGGTTGCGGGGCTTATCTTGCTTTACTGGCCGAGGGAGCTGATGTTTGTCCGCAGACAGTTTTTCCAGGTCATGTGGCCAGCATGACTAAGCCACTTCTACTCCTGCTGAAATGGTTTGGGGAAATGACAGCATTTTACCCCAATCTACACTGAATTTTCCATTTACATAGGCGTATTAAATTAAAATGGAGCACCCATACATGGCAGGATTTGGTTTGCATTTGTGTGCACAAATCACTTCCTGGGGTGATTCATTAGTGTGCATGTGTTTATCATGGAACCTATAACATGCTTTCATGTTTCCTGTGACGAGAGAGGAGGCCTGGATTAGTTGTACTTTCACTGATTGCTGCTGCCTTTCTTAACACGGCGGTCTGGATTTTTGTGAAGAAAACCCATCAAAGGAAATTGTTGCTGCTGTGCAGTATGTGGCAGAGAAAAGCTGCAGATTACATTCTATTTCCCGACTCCTTTGCAGTTTTCTCTGTGTGCCTGGAGGCACCTGCTCCTTCTGACCGTCTCTTCTGTTCCTCCTGGAATCTTAGGAACATAGAATTATATGAATGGAAGTATCCAAAGGGTCACCACACCCATAATCCTCCTCCAACCAGCACCCACAACCCCTACGGTGTGGGCAGCTGCTGCTTCTGCCACCATTAACCACGTGAGCCACCCTGCCATGTCCACATCAGCTTGACAGAGCAGAGTAAAAAAAAATTTAAAAAAAGATTCACACAAAAATCTTCATCACTGGCACGGCACACAACATTCAGAATAGGGGATTTGTAGAGGACCAGTTAGGACACCGCTCTGTCTTTGGGAAGAGGTTTAAAAAGAGGACATCTGGACATCCTTGGCATGAGCTCTGGAAGGGGGAGAAAATGTGAAACCTCCTTATGCTTTCTCTCTCACTTCTTCTGCTGGAAGCGTAGAGCAGCCTTTGGGGGAATTTCAACCCAAATTTAGAGGAGTAAGAGAGAGAGGCTTCAAAAACATAGCCTTTAATGTAGAAGATCATTACGGACATTCCCACATTCAGGAAAAAAAAGAAAAAGGCAGTCCGATGTACCTCTTAATAATACATAACAGCCTGTTTGCCAATATCAGTTATCTTTGTTTTGTAAGATATTTCCCCCCTCTCTACCACTTAAGGATGCCGTTACTGTTCATCCGTTTCCAAGCATTTCACTACAGGAACTGAATGGAGCAGTGTAGCATTTAGGACCTGCTTTTCAGTGACGTTGCGGCCAGCTCATGAATGGGAGACAGATGTTTGGCTATTATGGTGCCGTGCTGAAATGCATCTTTAAACAGATTTTCAAAAGTGTAAATTATTTTGGGGCAGAGGCTGAGACTCCATGCACTGGAAATAGTCAAAAATACTGAAATTTCAGGTAGCCTTGTGTGTTGTGGGTTTGAGCCTTACGTTGGGTAAAAGATCCCTGCATTGCAGGAGGTGGGACCAGATGACCCTCATGGTCCCTTCCAACTCTACAGTTCTGTGATTCCTGTGGGCAAAGCAGAACTGCTTCCCATGTTGCTTGTCTGTGCACACATAATTCTTTTTTTTGTCATTGTGCTATTTCCCCAGCATTAGTGACATGCCAGTAAGGGCTCTAACTGTGCCAGGACATCTGTTTTCAATGCCAGCACTCATCCCTACAAGACATCAAGTAAGGATGGTGTTGCCAGATAATAATAATAATGTTGTTGTTGTTGTTGTTGTTGTTGTTGTTGTATGAGGATACATACAGTCTGAGGCCAAATGCTCCTGAGCAAGTGCAGAGTCCATTTCCCCTCATCACTGTGTATCTTTAGAGAGACTTTATACATCAGTTGGGAAAGTTGGATGAGACTTCTAGACAGACTTGAACCACATGATTCTTTTCCCAGAAATTAAGCGTTCGTGCCAATGAAATTATAAGTGGCAAAGTGACAAGTGGGCTGATTAGCACTGAAAAGCAAGATGTTGCAGAGAACAATGCCTCATATATCCAAAATCCTTTCTCTCCCTCCCATCCTGCTGCTGGCTAGTGCGATTTTTAAAACCTAAGAAATTATCAGGTTCCCAGTTCGTTATCAGTCAATGTTTTTTGAGTAGATGCACTTACAGCACAGTTCTATATGATGAGGTTTCACAGAGTTCAGTGGAGCCTACTACCAGGTAAGTGGGTGTATAGGATTGCAATGTAGCCTTAGTCACTTGATTACACTCTCTTCTCCTTCCCTCTTCATCTTTAAAACACTTGCAGAAATCTGTTGCTATAAAAGGAATACTTTTTTTTATCTGCATTTATCACTAAAGGCATTTCTTCCCTGAGGGGATGGAGTGACATGCTCCTTTAGGAACTATGCTGAGGTATGAAACAAACCAACACAGCTGCATAAAGAGCATTAGTGAGTCTGTGTACTGATCCAGGCACAACCATCTATTTATAACATGGCCTGTTACAGAATATTTCAATTCCACAGTTTCTGATAATGTCCCAGTTTCTTTCTGCTACACTTTTGTGAAACTGCTAAGGGAGCTTCAAACATGATAGAATTTCAGACCTAGGTAGCACTTCCTATTAGAGAATAACATGCACATTACAGGTTGTATTCAATTAACTCGGAGTAGACCCATTGCAATTAATAGACTCAAGTTTGCCAGTTAGTTGAATCCAACCCTACATATCCATCATGACATGATGATGCCTAAATACAATCTATCTTGTCTTCCATTTTTCCTTTGCGTAGCGTCTGTTAGATTGTAAGTTTCAGGTCTGGGACTTGTTAGTTACTGACATTTCGCAAGCTGCTTTAGGAGCCTGTTTGGCTGAAGAGCCCGGTAAAAATAAATACATGCAAATAGATTTCAAAGGCTCCATCTGCTACAGCTTCCCATTTCATGAATGCACCACGCGATAGACCAATATGTGATGACCATATCTGACAATGTATAGACACCACTTGCATGTTTTTTGTTACATGTTCTGCGGCCACATGTGGGGCTGTAAAGACTCGTGAGCATTTTTTTGAAAGCACACTAAAGCCTCTTGGAAAACACTTCTGGTAGCAGAAATAGCAAATTCATGACTTGGGAGGCTACAGAAAGCAAAGGGGGGAATTTGTGCGGAAAACTAAAAACATACTTAGCCACCCCCCTTTCAATTTTCCTGCTCCTTTTGCTGCCCTTGTTATTATAGCTGCCTTCAGAGAGACCAAGCAAAGTTTGTGGGAGAGCGGCAGTTGCCAAAAGAGATCACTTCTGAGAAGGGAAAGCTTTCTGGCTTCCAGGATCTATCCTCAAATTTCCTAAACCTTTGCATTTCTGTCTGGCGGTCTGCGGAATTAGTACATCTAATCTCAGGGCTGAGGGTTGGTATGTACAGACAGAATCCGAAGAGGCAATATTTACAGAGGTCAATGCAAATATTTTACACTGGAACAATTTGCTTTGCCTTTGGTTTTTTAAAAAGGCAAACATCTCAGTGACACATTAAAAAGCCATCACGTTTCACCTGTGTCCGTGCTGTAGTTAAGAGAAAATAGATGGTTTTGAAGCAAACTTGTATATTGTCTTTAGGTCATCCCTACTCTGGGCCAGGACAGGATCTGTGTTATTAGGGTGCTCATAAGCTTAGGGAAATCCGCCACTCTTTCCTAGAAATTTCCAGCCGGTGGTATAACTGGCTCCACAAAGGATTAGGGAAGGCTTTGAGTATCTACCAGGCAAGGCTTCCTAGACAGGATGTTCATATTCTTCTACAATGGGAGGGGGCACCATAGACGTGTGTAGCACATTTCATTAGGCTGTGCACCCATGAATTTTGTTTTAATTCAACAAAAGAGGAGAATGACAAGACAAACAAATAAAGACAATGAAGAGACAAGGAGGAAAGAAGGTAACAAAACAACCACTATAGGAGAGGTCAAGAAGCTAAAACAGCTTTTCCCTGCAGAAAATAAGACCTGTGTCGACCAGATCTGGAGGGCCGAGGGCAGGATGACTCCTCTTGTTTGCTCACATGCCACAAAAGCAGCCCCTCACCCCCACAGATCTTTCTCCACCAAAGGTGGCCAGTGGAGCTTGGACAGGGACAGGGCCTTGGGACAGAGACAGATGCAGGCAGAAGAAAAAGGCTGGAATAGAGACCCTCCACCCCATTCACCCCACGGCCACTTCCGGAGACAGATCCATTTCAGCCTTTTTCTTCTGCTTGCATCTCTCTCTCTCTCTCTCTCTCTCTCTCTCTCTCTCTCTCTCTCTGAAACATCAGAGTGTGCCTGGACATACTTAGCAACCCACCTTCCTTGGGCATATTTGAGGGGACCACATGCATTATAACATCGAAAAAAAGAATTCAATAAGTTTTAGCAGCTGCAGCGGGTCATGCCTGGAAAAAAACACTAATCCTGGGCAATACAAGAGACATGTGGCCCCATCATCATCGTTTGCCTCATTTATTCACTTCCTAGTAACATCTAGATTTTCTCAGTATGCAAAGGGCAGTTCTCCTCTCCGTAATAGCAATGATCTGAGGAGGAGATGGAGAAACTAGGCTACTTATGAAATCGTCAAAAAGAGGAAATGCATCACCAAAGAAGAGTACAAAAGAAGATGCAGATTTGCACCAATTTTTCTTTCAAAATTTGAAAGAATTACTATAATTTAAATAGAGAATTCAGTACATCTCACCATAGTGAGGGGAAGTGTAACCAGGTGACCTGTGAGCCTGCTTAGTCAGTTGTCCAAACCCCAAGCATTTTGGAGTGATTTGACCCTCTCAAATTTGCCTTTCAACTTCCATCTTACTCATTTCAGGGTGGTTTCACTTTTTGAAGTCAAATGTGACCATGTTGGATTTTCTTAGCCATGTGACACACTCTCTGTTCCCAGTTATTAGTTTTTTACACAGTAAGAGAGATGGCTCCAGCATCTTGTGACATCTGGATAAACCCTGAGGTAGGAAGGAAGCTGATACTTTGCCCTATCTTTACAAATAAGCACATATAAGCCCCAGTAGACAGAAATACTAGTCTCCAGTTTGGCTGTTGTTCTTCCTATCAGATCCTCTGGCTTTATTTAAAGGTAAAAATAGAGAAAACTCCTCCCCTCAACTATTTCACAAGATACACCAAATTTTTAGTGAGTGTTTTCCTCCAGACATATACCAAGTAATCAGCAATGTCATTTTAAATCAGCATGGTTTATTGAATAGTGTGTTCTTTCAAATACAAATGATTTTTCTTCATGTTCTAAATGCAACTTCCAGTGAATAATATGTAGATTTATTAAATAGCCACAGAGAAACTCTGGGACATGACGAGGTTAGATTAATATAAATTCCCTTAACACTTCAGCAAGTGGCCCTTTTGTACACTCAAAAGCATTTAGCCTACCTAAAATTAAACCAAAGAAATCATGTGCAATATTCTCAGGGGAGAAAACAAAACCACCACAGGCTTTTCACTTTACTAAACCAAAGAACTGTTAATATTACTAGAGCTTAATGGAATTCTGAAGTAGGCCTCCCTGAAGTCTTGATTCTAAATCAAGGAGAGAACTCCAGCAAAGCAGGTCAGCCTTGGAAAAGCAAACTTGCTGCTTTTGAACAGTAACACCAGGGAAGGGGGTGGGGTGGGAGAAGACTTCAAAGTGGAGATGTTAATGTTGCTTGCCTTTTGCAATTGGACAGGTCAATGTAAATAACTTTTGCTTCGAAGCAGGGATGGATAAGAATGAATTTTGAATGACATTTGTGTTTTGGTTCGCACATTGGTTCATAAAGTGCGAATTAGGTTGGTTCGCATTAAAATGTGAACCAAACTGATTTATTCTCCAGCTCTACGTCTACATGTTTCTTTACTTGATCAATTATCCCATGAGAGCAGCTACTGATATGACTAAAGACTGTGAGACATTTGCAAACCCCACATGTGGAACTGGGCTGATAAGTAGGAGGGAGCCAGCAGAAGGGAGAACCTGTCAGTTTTGGTTCTCTCCATTTTACAAATCCTAAATTTTTGTAATTATGTTTCCAAATCCCCATGAAA